GTAGAATTCGATCGAAGTTTTTTACCAACTCAACGGACTCCTTGAAAAGCTTTGTGTAGGATCAGGTGAAATTTGAGTGAATATCTGGAACGTAAGCACTTAAGAAACTTGAGAACCAAAAAAAGTGTTGGAAATCTTAGATTAGCTCATCAGGAATATTTTATAAGAACAAAAGATCATTCAAATGATTTTGACACCTACAACTACCGTAGCTGGTCTGCCGTAACAAAGTCTTTCAGTTCAAATACGTCTACAGCGCAAACTGAGCTATCTTGGTTACAACAATCATATAGAAGGAACTGCCACGACCGACTTTCGATTAACCTCGGCATTGATCAAGTAATTTTCTTCGTATTTTTGTTGAGCAAACGCGAGGTGTTACTATTCTTTGTTCACGAATGAGCTGACGTTTCGGCGATTTCGCCTTCCTCAGAGCCGCTTTCTATGAGGTTTCCACTAAGTATGTCACGTAGAGACCAACCGCACAGAAATCACATGGAAGTATAATGTTATATAATGTTACTTCCATGTGATTTCTGTGCGGTTGGTCTCTACGTGACATACTTAGTGGAAACCTCATAGAAAGCGGCTCTGAGGAAGGCGAAATCCGCCGAAACGTCAGCTCATTCGTGAATAAAGAATAATAACACCTCGCATATAGAAGGAATTTTGAATAATTAATCGTCACAAAAAGTTTTCTTTAATCCATTATATTGACGAAGATGTAGAAACAATGGTCTGAATAGAAACAGAACTTTACTGCTTCAGATAAGAACCATCAGAATCAAAACATTTCTGTCAACGTTCCGTATAATTGTTTTTCTCGGCAACGGAGATTTTTGTAGTTCTGATGCGATTATGAATCGTTAATGGTTTTTTAGCAACTTCGCGGTCTCAGTCCTTGCATGAAGTTGTCGAAATTCTTGTTAGTTTATGATAGTAAGCTAGTGAATAGTCAGAAGAATGCGGTGATTTTGCAAACCAAGTAGTTCACTTCATGGAGCATTTTTTTTTGTGTTCGCTCTAGTGTTATCAAAGAGGACCATTTGTATTAGTCAGTTGCAGATGAGAACGCGACAGTTCCTAGCGCATGTTATCAACACAGTAACAATTTTCGTCTTCGATAGTAATACGTGGCGCGTGTGGTGCAGTGGTTGGAGGCACCACTGCGACACACACGGTGGAATCGATTCCCGCGCCCATGGCCCACCAAGCCCTCCATCCCTGCGGGGTCGGCGAATTGGTACCAAGCTTGTTTGGGAAGATAGCAGCACTGGCTCGATGCATCTGTAGGCCACCGCGAGTCATTGTAAAGGCCACATATGCATTCAATCACCTGCAAACGATGCTTAATGAAGTCGAATGCATGGCGCATCCCTCAGGGATTGATCAACGCCGAGAACTTTATCCCTTTTAATCCTTTAATAGTAATACGTTTTTACGGTTTCGGAGAATATTATGGATATTCTCTGTTGCAGACCACCAAATACCCACCATGACCTTTTCTATGAAATTTTGGCCTCGGGTAGTACATTCCTGTGTGATCGTGATCCATCCATTGCGTAAAACGACAATCACTGTCGTACACTATTCATTTTTCATAGAAAGGCACAGTATATTCAAAGAACATGCCATTTCTGTTGAGTAAGGAAGCATAGTACACAATTTATAACATGATTTTTTTGCATTTGTTCATTTCATGTGGCATCCGCTTATACTCTTCTTCTTTGGAACGTCTTTTAAACATCGAACGTCTGCTGATTTGTAATAACATTGGGCTTTTTTGGAACCTTTGGGGATGTTTTTCTTTTTGATGCTCAGCTTTATTATAGCCTCCAGATGGTAGTCAGTTGCTGAGGGCACTCATGACTTCCTTCGTCATAAATATTTACATTTCCGACAGCAAACTTTTTGAACTATCCGCTCCCTGTATATTCGGAGCACCTTCATTGCACCTTAGTTCGATAGCATTTCGTTCGTTTTCCATTGGAACATGTCCGGATTTAAACTCATGAAGCGAACGGCGTGACTTCCTCGCATTGAGAAAATTCATCCTGTTAATAAGCTTTAAATTGTTGCAAATTTCTTTTACATCACCCGTCCTCACATCTGCTTGTGCATCCTAGCACTTTTTGCGTGTGGCGTTGAATGGCACTTAAGGATTGTGGTCTTGGTTAGGAATGTCGTTCAATGCTGGTCAAGTAAACTCTCAACGGAGCTCTAAGATTGTAATGATGGGTTGTTCCCACGCGGAATGGAGGGAGTTATTTAGTTCCAGGAAAGTCTGGTACGAGTTTCGCAGTCTCAGACATTGGGAAACTTGGAGGGTCCAGTGCGAGATCGAAACAGTAGCATGCTCGTCATGAACGACATCATTACCACTGCGCTACCCTACTCCATGGTAAACGAAATGTTGAAGATGAGTGCATTAGTTAAACTACTAATAAGCTTTGAAGATGTATGCAAAGGGTGTCTGAGCAATAAATGGTGGTAATAAAATATACTTGTATGAATCATAAAGAGGAAAAATGGCCACTTTCTTTTTTACACTAACATAATAAACTCAATTTAGCTTGCTTCACTGATAAGCTAACACGAGGTTGTTACCAATATTTATTGGGCTAACGTTTCGACGTCTTCGTCTTCCTCAGAGATGATGATCTGAGTCGATCTCCATTGTCGTTCATCTTCTCAATGTGGTGCCCTCGTCGTCGCATTGAGTCGGAAGATAAGATAAGATAAGGAGGATCTGGCTCGATACGACAACAAAGACACAACATCGAGAAGATGAATGTCTGTGGACATCGACTCGTACCATCGGCTCTGAGGAAGACGAGGATGTCGGAACGTTAGCTGAATAGGTATTAGTAGCAACCTTGTGTTAACTTATCAATGAAGCAAAGTGCATTGATCATTTATAGCGAGGTTTAAGTCGGTTTACTACAATAAACTCACTTTGTTTAAATAATACAGCTGTGTTGACTTAAACACTTTTTCGAAACTTATACTAAAGAAGAAGATCTCCCATAGTTTTTCTTGGATGGTGAATGAATCACTGCTACTTCCTTATGTGTACCTCATACTGCGAAGGAATCTTTTAATGAAATATTGTTTCGATTCAACGGTTTGATTGGCTTAAATTTCGGTAATGAAACCCGAATTATTGTTTTGTTCATGAGCTGCGACGGAATCATACAATACGAAATTGCAGTGAACGGCGATCTATTCCAGGTTAATACCTTGTGTTCCGGATAAAGTGCAGTGCTCATATAATGAGTCAGTTCCGTAGTTGCACACTTTATTACATAGTGGTCCACGTACGTACTTAATGCCACTTTCACTCACGTAGAATGAAGTTTGTAATCTATATTTACAATAAATAGGAAGTGATTTCATATCCTCTATAACCGTGCACAACTACAGTCCGGCCGCCACTTTCATAAGAACTTGGCACAGTGCACTGATTGCTAGTTTTCTGGATTACTTGAGCATCATTTCCGGAATGGCTTGCTTCAAAATCTTACGTTGGTCACCTGAACCTATGCTTAGGTTTAAGTCTTGTCGTTTTTCATCGATCTTCTTCAAGTGTGTTAACAAAAATGAAAATTAAGAAGAGATAGTGTCTTATCAACTTCTTCTTATCAGACGGTTAGGTGAGCTGTAGATGTTAAAGGGTGCCAATGGGTAACCGTAGTTGCACAATGATTGCTTGAAGACCTCAACCTGTTACGTTTGTGGATGTTATTCATTTTGGACAGTGTTCCCTCTTTTCTAACTTAACTTACTTTAACTAAAATGTATGCAAAATCCAAGGCAAACCTTCTTCGTGCATTCTAGCTTGAAGACAATCATCTTCACCAATTACTCCAGTTCTTTGACTAAAAGGTAAAGAAATCGAGGTTAGACTGATCCAATAACGAATTTCCGTTGAGTTTCCAAACGTTGTGGGAATGCTATGCACATATAGTGCCGGATCACAACATTATACAGGTAATACCGGTCGAAACCGTCATTGTAATGCGACCATTATGAGGATCCACATCTGAAAAACCCATCTACATTGCCTGATCTGGCCCCTACAGTACGTGTGTTGGCAGTCGTTGTCAGTTCATGCGTGGATTCACTCACCGCTTGTGATGCTTCGGCAGAACCTATGACTGGTACTTTTCATCAGTGCGCGAGTTCTCGTTCGTCGGTACACCTGTAGAGCGCCTGTGCACGTCAGAGCACGTTTGTCTGTGACAGTTCGCTGAGGTGGCGCGAAGTAGATAGATTTGAATTACAGTTACCAGTAAGACGATGTGATCTAGTTCTGTTTTTGTAAATTACGTGTTCTGTGTGATTCACAGAAAAACGCAAATGGTGCGATTCTGAATGTGTTGTAGTAAATTTGCGGTTTTCTTTTTAATATGTCGAAGAGTGTCAAGTTAACATGTATTTAAATTGTTGAGCCTACCGGAGATTGCTATATAACCCTTATTCGGCTAATGTTTCGACATCTTCGTCTTCATTCGAGCCGAAGATCCGAGTCGGTGGTCTACAGGTATTCATCTTGTCGATGTGGTATCGAAAAAAATTGTGAAGTTCACTGTTGATGACGAACGAAGCGTGATTCTACACGTAGAGTCATGTTGTGACTTACGTTTGTTTTCAGTTGGCAGTGGTCCAAAAAGCCTCAGCACTGCCGTTCCTTGAACCTGTAGTCATACTACTTGTAGATTGGCAAAGTAGAACACAACTTTATGTGCTATCGACCTGTCAACATCTAAAAGGCAAGGTTATTGACGGTTTCCGATAGTGCTTATGTAATCGCTATGAAAGCTTTCCTGTTTTCATCATCTCAAATCTTCTTTTCGACGTCATCATGTCATGTCAGTAAGGCACTCGCGAATTATTGTGATCGTTGAAAACTCTTCGTTCCTACATTTCCTCTTTCTTTATCGTTGTTGATTTCTGTCTTTTTACTACCATATGCTTTGTTTTTCTCTTCAGATTTGTTAATGGACAGGAAGTCTATCGATTTGAGCCCTCTAAAAAAGGCCAGTGTCCCGATATTCTTCATTATTGGTAAGTTTCGTTTATTGTTTGTGTGAGGGTAAGCAAGTGGTACCTTTTTTTTGAATACATGCTGTTTGTGTTACTAGATTTTCCAGGTGTTACTGTTTTCCTAATGGAGCATTATTGGCTCTCATATTTGTCTGTGGTGTCACAGATGTCATTTTTTAGGTGGTCCAGGTTCTGGCAAGGGCACGCAATGCGAAAGAATCGTGGCAAAATACGGCTTATCGCATCTTTCGTCCGGTGATCTTCTAAGAGATGAGGTCCGCTGAGGCGATGTTTTTCGTTGCTAATATACTAACAACTGCGCAACACGCGCCGGTAATACACTAACTGCGACTTTATCCTATCCTGATCATTTTTATCTTTCTGTACCCGTTTATTTTCAGGTTCAATCTTCCTCTGCCAGAGGTGTTCAGCTATCCAAAATAATGGAGGCAGGAGAATTAGTGCCTTTGGTGATTGATTTCTTTCTCCTTATGTCTTCGAATGTTGTTAGTTCACAGTCAGTCTGAGGTTTTCAGGAGGTTGTCTTAGACCTGATCAAAGAGGCAATGCTTAAGGAAGTTGCCAAAGGTTCCAAGGGTTTCTTAATCGATGGATATCCTCGAGAAGTGAAACAAGGAGAGCAGTTCGAACGCGAGGCTTGTCATTTTAAAGCTGTTCATCTTAAGTGACCATTCCTTTTTCGTGTTGTATGATAGCCGTAATAGTCTATTTTCTTTTTTTTGAAATGTTAGTTAGCCTGATTCTTGCAGATTGGTGAGGCCAAGTTGGTCATTTTTTTCGATGTTTCTGATGAAATCCTCATTGAACGACTTTTAAATCGCGCCAAAACGAGGTTTTGGAGTCATTTTTCTTCTTATTTCTTCTACTACTATTCTGGTTTTACTACAATGGTCATTACAGTGGGCGTGTCGATGATAATATGGAGACAATAAAAAAACGTCTACAAACTTTCAAAAATGCTACTGCCCCTGTTGTTGACTACTACGAAAAGAAGAATAAACTGGCTAGAGTCGGTTTTTTCTTACCAGAACTTCCTTTATTTTGTATATATATATATATATATATATATATATATATATATAGTTTCTGTAGTTCCTTTTGGTTTCACTAAGTAGATTTGTTCCAGATTAACGCACATGGGAGTGTTGATGAAATATTTAATGTTGTCGTTCAACATCTGGACAAGTTAGTTACGAAGTAAGTGATTAAAAAGTTATTTCGCTGTGTAATCCATAAAAGTTATCCTGGATAAGGTTTTGTATATCTTACAAATGTAAATATTCCGCATATTGGGTGCATCATGGTTGTAATTGCTTATGGCAGTTGCACGAACTTACTGAAGGATGTGAAATGGGTTATTTGGGCCTATCTTGTGCTACTGAAAGACATGAACTGTGTTAGTTGGGCCAATGTTGGGTTATTGGGAAACAAGAAATATGTTCTTTGGACGTATCTTCGATTCTTGGAAGACATAATGTGTGTTAGTTGGGTCTATCTTGGGTTACTGAAAGACATGAAATGTGTTAGTTAGGCCAATGTTGAGTTACTGATAGGCACGAAATATGTTAGTTAGGCCTACGTTGGATTATTAAAAGACATGAAATGTGTTCGTTGAGCCTATGTTAGGCTGATTATTTGAGTAGAAACGCTTTCGTTTGTTTAGATCGTCTGCAACACACTTTGAAAGGAAGCAAATAGATTTAACTCCTATAAGGAGGGCGAATGTGCCGATATTCTTCATAGTTGGTAGGCTCAATTATTGAATTGTTTTTGAATTGTTTGTCAGATAACATGTTCGCATGGCCGTACACTTTGTACATTACAGGCGGCCCAGGTTCTGGAAAGGGTACACAATGCGAAAAAATAGTTGCGAAATATGGTTTCTCACATCTCTCATCGGGTGATCTTCTCAGGGATGAGGTACGGTGATGTCTTTTTTTATGATTGATAGTAAGAACAGTTTATAGTCGTTCCCCGTGTTTCTTCTCGAATTTGGACCGTTCTAGGTAAAATCTGGTTCTCCTAGAGGTGCTCAACTTTTGAAAATAATGGAGGCTGGGGAATTGGTTCCCCTAGTAAGTGATTTGCTTGAACTATTTTTGAAAGTAAGTGCTGGTTTTCAAGTTATGGCCTAATTTCTAACCATTAGGAAGTAGTATTGGACCTCATCAAAGAGGCAATGCTTAAAGAAGTCGCTAAAAAATCTAAAGGCTTTCTTATTGATGGTTATCCACGAGAAATAAAGCAGGGAGAACAATTTGAGCAGGAGGTTAGTTTTGAGTTTGCATTTGTAAACGTGTTTTAGGGAATGCGCAATTTTTTTTCGTTTCTGTCATCACCTTTTTTGTAGATCAAAGAGGCAAAGCTGGTCATTTTTTTCGATGTTTCTGAAAAGGTTCTGGTTGAACGACTTCTACATCGTGCGAAAACTAGGTAGCAGCAACAATTATACATCGAATGTGATTTGATAGCTTTTATACACTATATTTCCGTGTGAAGCTCCAAGCGAGGTAACATTTACTTGCTTGGATATTTGGATGTCTCGCCCTCACTGGTTGTGCGGGTCCTAGGTAATCTTCATTTTTTTGGAGTTTTGCTGATTTAACCATTGTGGTTCCCTAGAATGCCGAGGTCAGCCTGGCCAAAGTCTGCCCCAAGTCTTCACCACGACAGGTAGTCACAGCCCTTGTGGATCAGAGGGAGATTTGCCACCATGCGACTTTGATACCAGAGCAGTGATGGATCCTGGTATTGGTTTAGTCTTAGCTAAGCTTATTGATGGGAACGTCGGACTCCTCAACCTGGAAGACCTCGCCAGAGGATGAATCCCCACTATGCATCGCAGTTCAACACCCAGGAACACCTCCCAGCCACAATGAGCCGCTAAACCGTTGGTAGGGAGTAAGGTAATATAAAATGTAAACGATCTTTTTGATAGCTGGAAATGTTATTAGTGAAATTGATGAAGGACTGTGTATACAGTGGCGCAAGTGAGTGTACCTGTTACCTTCTTGTTCAGAGATCCTTGTTAAACTGCATAGTTACATATCTGTGGAGTTACGGTTTGGAAATGATATTGTGATAGGCTGCTTAATCAACAGTGATCCATACCGTAATCTGTGACTACCATACATGTACTGCTCGTTTGTCGGCACCAAAGTACGGGAAGGTTAACGGCACCTAAGACATATTCTTCGTGGTAATAGGTCAAACCAACGTTCATACTTTTTCGGACCACATAGGAATTTCTTTTGTGTGTTTGATATCTGTGACAAGTGTTTCATTTGTAATACCATCATTGCTCGTTGCAGTGGTCGTGCCGATGACAATATGGAAACCATAAAAAAGCGTCTGAAAACGTTCATTGATGCCACGGCTCCTGTTGTAGATTACTATGAGAGGAAGAAAAAACTTATTCGGGTGGGTTAAACGAGTTGTGGGACCGTGGGATAGTACTTCGACAGTGTAGTGGTAGTTCAAACGCATGAAGAAAATTGTGCAGGAAATTCTCGACGAGGATTTCTTCTTTAAATTGTTGATTGCCAAAATATCTCTTCCCTTTCTAATGATTGAGTTTCGGTGTACACTTTAAACAATATTTTTGTAATGTCAGGAATTGGCTTTCTATACGTAATAGTATGCTTTCCCAGGTTGAAGCATAGCGACACAGTCCTCATTTACCATTTCTTGTATTTTCGGGATACTTGAGTAGTCCTTCAATGAGTCTTAGAGTATTAGAAAGTCTTCATTTGAAATGCTACGGCTCATTTGATTAGCAGATTCACCACCACGCCCAATTTTGTTGGCCACCGTGCGCCACATGCGTGAAATTCAAAGTGTATGGTGCGTTGTGCATTTCCCATCCCAGAAGAACGAATCACGTACCTCCTCCATTAGTAATAGCCTCTGTGTTGCTTGGTCGCTACGGAATGTTAGTAATCGCGGGACTACTTGTGCACTCCTTTTTTTATAGCGTAGACATCCTTACCTTTTAACTACCAATAGTTTTGTGATGAGACGAGGAAACTCGTCCGAAAAGCTGTGTGGCGTAGAGTAAAGCTTTTCTGGGACATCAGCACAACTGCACTTTGTTGTGCGATTGTTGCCTTGGAAGCTTGCAACATATTGATTAAATACAACAATTGTAGCAAAAAACTATGCGGTAGGGTAAACAGTGGGAAAGAAAATGCATGGGAGCGGTGCATATTGACCACTATGTTCCATATATGCGTTGAATCAATCTGTATATTTGCGAATCTTAAAAGACCTAACCAGGTAACATTTAGAGCAATGACAACAATAGTTCTAGGGATTGTAGGGAAAGTGCTACTAAATTTTCCAACATTCTATGTTATTGTCAAATCGTGATAAGTACAGATAGTTTGTAGTACCGATGTGTTAATAGAACACTTTTACGTTTGTTAACTAACCAGGATATTTGTTTTTTCCTTTGTAGGTTAAAGCCGAAGGGAGCATCGACGAAATCTTCGCAGTGGTCTGCAAACATCTAGATATCTCTTTGAAATAAATGTAAATGGTTAGATTAGATTAGAAATAGGTTAGAAGGAGAAGTCTTTGTCAAAGTAGATCAGATTCACATAGTTGATACACCTCATGAAAATATCAGAATGTTCATTATATGCATATGTTGTCTCTAATAAATGTCACACATTTGTTCTTCAATAATATTGTGCTCACGAACTTATCCAAGACTTTGTTAGTCATATGTGGCTTGTACGTAAAGTGTATACGTACTTGCGGTAAATTCAATTCCTTGAGACACAAACTAGTAGAGTCAACAGGTCCTTGCTTACGCGATACAATTTTTTTTGGTTATAACACAATGATGCTCGGTTTTTCTGGAATACGAGTAGTGTTGGCTTCTCACCTTTCTTCATGAAAGCGTGTATTTCAAACTGCGAAGCCGTTTTTCAAGCCGGTTTGCTTTGGCAGAGCATAGTGTAAGTGAATGCAGATGGTTTCCCAGCTTACATTAAGTTCTAGAAGAAAGTGTTTACTATGCTGGTAATTTTATGAATTTGAACATTGAACAAGTTAAAAGTACGCAATGCATATATATATATATATATATATATATAAGATTACATATATACTTACTCTCCTAATATCCACTATCCGCGAAGATTTTCCCATCTTTTACGTGTGGGTTCGGCTGCTGCTTGAGGATTTTCATTTCATTTCGAATGTCGCAGAATGCTGGTCGAATCGATTCTCTCTGAAGCCCTAAGATAACCGGGCTGGAGCGTTCCCAATTGAACTGTGTAATTTTTTCTCGGACAAGTCCGATACCAATTTCCTGACTCCGAAGGGATGAGAGACCTCGTTAGCCTGGAACCTCGGAGTAGCACCATACTCGTGATGACCGACGTCACTACCTCTGTGACTTCGCCTCATATATATATATATACATATATATATATATATATATATATATATATACACAGGAATGATAGGGCAATATTTTCTTCATACGTCTATTAAGTTCTCAATCCTTCAGCAACTCTGCTGNCTGGAACCTCGGAGTAGCACCATACTCGTGATGACCGACGTCACTACCTCTGTGACTTCGCCTCATATATATATATATATATATATATATATATATATATATATATATATACCCAGGAATGATAGGGCAATATTTTCTTCATACGTCTATTAAGTTCTCAATCCTTCAGCAACTCTGCTGAGAGTTTATCCGTGGATACAAAGAAACATGCATGGTTGGCAGTGTGTTGAAGGTCTAGACTAGACTGTTTCCATTTATTCAAAGTATAGAAAGCAATGGAATGTATATTATTATCACTTGTATTCCATTGTTTTCTGTTCATTACATCGTTTTCAACTGGTCGGTCTGTTAATCTCAGAAATCTTTGGTAAGTCATAAACCGATCACCGTTACAGAATGGTCGACTTTTGCTTGAAGTGGTGACATTGGCACGCCGATATCATACAGTCCGATGTTATTCGAGCACAGCTATTGCGGTATTCAAGGCAAAATTAAGAAACTCATTTTTCAGCAAATTGGTGGAAATAAGCCATTGATTAACTGCCATACTGCACGAAACATCTTGGTGAGAAAGGATTACGAGAAAGCGAGTGGAATAGAAATACTACGACTTGCATGACGTGTTGATGATTCAGTATATATACATATTCATATATATATATATATATATATATATATATATATATACATACATATATATGCTCCCAGCGGTTTAATGGTTTGCCGTTGCTAGGTGGTGTTCCTGGGTGTTGGGCTGCGATGCCCAACAGGGAAATTCATTCCTCTAGCAAGGTCTCCCATGCAGAGAAGGAGTCCGTGGTTTTTGTCAGGAAGCCCAGTTAGGAGTAGAGGAATACCGCGGTCCGTCAGATTCCTGGCGCCAAACTAGTCGCATGGTGGCAAATCTCCCTCTGATCCGCAATGGCGGCTACTGCCCGTGGTGGTGACGCCCTAGCGAAGCGTTTGGCATGGCTGCTCTTCGGGACTCCAGAGAACCACAGTGGCTAAACAAGCAATGCTTCGAGAAAATGAAGAATATGCTGGGGCCCGCACAATCAGTGAGGACAGGCCATCCAAGTACATATATATATATATACATATATATATATACATACATATATATATATATATATAACTATTGTAATGTTGAGATATATTTCGCAAAATACCCTGCCGTTAAAAAGAACAGGCAGTAAATAAAAAGGTTAAGATTATGATTATAACTATAGCCTCAGCTTAATTGTGTTCCATGCCGATTCGGGCTACCCAGACCAATCCCGTTGGCGGGTGATTGCTGATGGCAAAAAATCTATAGAACTAGCTGAGAGACAGGCGAAACGAACGACCCGCATGGTGTGGTGGTGAACGCGTTAGTCTCCGGAAGGGGTAATAGCCCGTTCGTTTGCCACCGCAGACAGCTGCTGTTCGGAGACTTTGCAAATACCTCAGCATCATTGAAACTATGTATAAAATAAAAAGAAGGATAAAGCTCTCGGCGTTGATCAATCCCTGAGGTATGAGCCATGCATTCAACTTCATTAAGCATCGTTTGGAGGTGGTTGAATGCATAGTTGGCCCTTACGATGACTCGCGGTAGTCTAGTGATGTTTCGAGCCCGTGCTGCTATCCTCCCAGACAAATCTGGTAGCAATTCGCCAGCCGCGGACGGACGAAAGGCTTCGCGGGCCATGGGATATATATATATATATATATATATATATATATAAACATGTATATATACTTATGTTTCCGACAGGCACGTTCTTCATATTGAATGGCATCAGTATAACTACGTTACCGTCGCAGTTTTCTGGAAGAAAAGATAGTAATGATAGAGGAATGAAAAAGTGCCATCAAGAAGCGCTAACCCCTGTGTGGCAACCGACGTCCCTTCATCGTCTCGTTTGCTTATCCTGATCTCAACCCAAATGCGGTTTCGTGGTCTGCTGCGGTTTTAAAATAGAGCGTAAACGTCATGAAACGTGTTTTCGGGTGATGATCACTGCATGAAAAGGATTGTACGCATGCTGAATAAGATTCTCGTTATTGAGATATTCCGCTGCATGTGTCGTTTTGAAGATTTTGCTCTCCGCTGAGTATTTGCTTGTTTATCCACTGGAAACGGTCCTATCACTTAGCAGGAGATTTCAGAAAACCGATATTTTATGTAAGTTTTTATCTTTATGCAGTGCTATGTGGTTTACGCGGAACTATATATGGAATAGATTATCGCAATTGATCTGTAGTTTCAGTTACTCTAGATATTTTGCGGCAATGCTTATTTCAACTGTTTGTGACGTAGAGTAATCTTCGCAAAAGATAGGTCACAAGATGAACATTCAATGGATCTCTCGTAGGCTAGGTCAGCGTAAGAAAGCTACTACTTGGCTCGCTCCTACTCCTAGTAATAAAAGTTTACTTTGAAGACGCAGTCATTAATACTCTTTAATGCAAAAATGATCAAGACAAGTTGTTGGTTGCTAAATATGTCCGCAACAAAGCCTGGGTATACCTATACCGAAAATCTCTAATTCGGCGTATTAATGTATTTGCATAAACTATTTTCTCATTTTACCTCAATATTACCAAGCGTTGTACTCTTACTACTCTCCTTTTCCAAGACTATTTTCAAAGAGTTGATGTGACACGAGGTTGTTGATGTAAAAGTTATTCAACATCGGTTCACGTTTCGGCCGTTTCGGCTTCTTCAGAGACTGGAAAAGTCAGATTGACACATAATGTTCTAGGTCAAACACTTCCATAACCTCAGCAGAAACAACGGAACACCTAAGTGCTAGTCGCATAGGAAAACAGCTTCTTTGAAAGAATCACCGTTTTGTTGTTTATAAGTCTTTCAGTTATTTGGAGGAAATTAGCCGCGCAGGAGTCTTACATGGGTGAGGAGTGTGCTTCGCACAAGTCAAGAAATCATGGCACTAGGTCACATGTGACCACAAGGGTCTCTTCATTAGGGTTCAATTTCGGATTTTTGGAATTTATTCAAAACATTCCAATAATGTTGCCTGTCGATATCATGGATGCTTGAGTGAGCATAGTGTGTTTCATTTGAAATTGTTTTGCATTATCTCCTTGTGTATCATGCTTGTCTAGTGAAGCGTTTTATCCTGCTTTAAGTTTACCATCCAGCTACTCTTTTATACGGACGCAACATCTGGAAGGCTATAAAGATCGAGACGGTTAGTCTCGTCTCAGAGAACTATTACTTTCTCCAAAAAGTTCACCGCTACCCATTGTTTTGTCCTCTTCGGAAGCTTTCCACCTCTTTGTTGAAGCCATGGTTTTGGAACTCTTCTGTATTTTAATACATGACTCTGGACACTCAGCGCTCCGACTTGTGTGCATTTCCGCTCATCACTGGAGTGCTGACCGGCGTTTTTAACCAACGTATTTCCTCTGTGGACCATCGATTCGGATCATTGGCTCTATTGAAGACGAACCCTTCAAAACATTAGCCGAGATAAACGTTATTGTCAACCTCATGTAGGCTCAACAATTTTAAAACACGTTGACTATTTTACTGCCGAGGTTAGATGACAGTCGGTTTAAAACTTGCTATGCATTTTCACAATGCTTACAATGCTTACTTTTCTATTTACTGCCTACTACAATTTTCATGACAGGGTATTATACGAAATCAACCACACGAGAATGCTGGGTTATTCGCAAAACTTGGATCATGGGCCAGATCGAATCACGATTTTCCTTTTTTGGGGGCTCATGCATAACACACTACGCCACAGAGGGTCTTTGATCTGCGTTTCTCTCAGTTAGTCTTCTATCTGGGAAAATCGTGGCTCGATGTGGACCGGAGTCCAAGTTTTGCGAATATCTCAGCATCATTTTGTTAAGCATTTATTATTCTTATGTCTATACTATTGCTCGATCATCTAAGCATGGAGGTTCAACTACTCAATTATTAGTTTTGTACTGTAGCATCAATAAAAGTCTCGTATAGCAGGAAACGAAGCATCCCACTATAAACTAACTTATACACTTTTGCAGACAATAATTTTGGTGACGCCAAGTACATAATTATATTACAATTGCACCTACAGAAATCTCCTTAGCGGCTTAACATTATAGCGGAAAGATGTCGTCAAGTGTCGGAGTTGAGAGTTAATGTGCAGCAGAAATAACTCTGTAACATCATCAACAGTAATATTTGCTGCATCGTGTTTTCGCCAGCAGTACTCTTTCGGCGAAGAAATAAACTCATGCGAAAAAAGTTTACTTGTAAACTTTAAGTTTAAAGAAATTCTGTGGAAAAAATATAAAAATTCTCACATATACCCCATCCAGGTTTGAAAACGACGACTAAATGCTGACAACATCCTCTTCGCGTGATGGTTGCTGTTTTCACCACCCACGAAATTTTGAAATGTTCCGAAAGCATGGAACAATAGATAAAAAACATGGACGATACGTAGACAACAATAAACAGCGAATTTATCAACAAAATATCTAGAGAACAAATTATAGAGTGAAAAATTGGGCAAAAGGAAGCACGAGCAAATCGACACGTATTGATTTCAATTCAGAGAGATTCCGACGAAATTTAGGGCTCAATAAGTTGCGGCGGACACGTGAAATTAGGCTGCTAACTGTACTAGCAGCTTTAAAGCTCATCAATATCCATTTCTCGATCTCCATCTGGGATTGATTTCATTACCCACTCCCAAGTAGACTTACTATAATAGAAATCTAAGGTACATTAACTTGGTCGTGATTCTTTCCGCATTTTATGCATTTCTTTTACCTTTCAGAAGGTTTTTTTAAAAATTACGAACTTACGGAACAGAATTCCTTTCGATAGTTTTGTTGGCCAATTGCTTCAACAAGAATCCTTCCAGGATGTTTGAATTACTTTCATGGTTGCTTTTGTGTCAAGTGGTTTCTTCGTCGAAAGAAGGGAAACCATTTGTTTCAAAAAAGAGAGGTGAGTGGTGTGCTTTTTTACGTAATTCATGCCGCAACTTCGTTAATAAATAGAGCCCGATGTGAACTGATTTCCACTCGAACGTGGGCAGCAAACTGGCCGACGTGAATTTTTATAACCTTCCTCGCTTTCGCTCGTTTATTTAACGCTCAGAGGTTTCAAGTAGGACAAAGAGTGTTGCTATGACAAGTGCATGCATGATTCGAGAGAGGTTTGGATGATTTGAGAGAGGCATTAGTAGATTTCGATCCGTAAAACGTGCGTCGAAAATTAGGCATCGGACTCTTACTATTAAACGTCAACGTTCACCTTCCTTAACGCTAAAGGCGGCAATGACTAGGTGTCGAATTTGTTTTTTATTTCCTTTCCAACTTGTCATAATTTGTTATGATATGAATCCAGGTAGTGAAGTTTTCGATGAAACCGTCTTGACCAACCCGCGATCCTTTGATTACGATTTTGCCGACGATCTCTTACATGTCGCAGACAAGAACGATCTCTATGACGAATTACTTTATCAGCTTCCTCCTTTCAACTTATACAAACTGGGTATCGACCGCGGTACTACACGGGCAAGTTATTTTCTCTTTAGAACATTCCTAATGTTATGTGTTTGCCATTTATCTTCTTGGTTTTCAGAAAGATGGCAATGAATTTATAATCATTGAAAAAATGATAAAGTAAATTTGTCAGAGGAAAAGAGAAATATATTCAGCAGCTTCATACAGCTCTACGATCGAATTTAGAGAGAACTTTCAGTAAACTTCAAAAAGAAACAATAAAAACTCCAAAATTGTTGTGCATAGTTGTGTGATAACTCATACGGAGTAGATGTTGTTAGGGCCACCATTCATATAAAATTATACTCTACACCTTGAAAAAAGCCTTTCTCAGACGAGTTTATTGGCGGATAGTTTGAAAAGAAATGCTGTGTTATTTAATTTCCAATCGCAGTAAGGCGTCACAGCTGTCGTGCAGGGTTTTCGTATTAATGTAAAAAATACGGGAATTGACTCAATGTGAGCTGTAAAACACTTCCAGGTACTGATACCGATTCGTCAATACAGTAGATCGTATTTTCTGTGGTCCCACTGATCGTCAAATCACTCTAGCTGACGCCAGTAATTATTCTACTTCTCCCTATCATACGTAAAAGTAGCGCAGTGGGTTGTGCTGTTCTAGGGATTCGTTAAAAACCTGACCATCAGGTCGGTGGTCATCGTGCCGTGTGTATTAACAACCCGAGGAATCCACCCGCTAACGGCACTTGTCCATCGGTTGTCGTTCACTCGCATTACGTGTTTGCCCCATCATGTCCTCGACTAATTCGCGTGTAGAACGGTGTCTCAGATTTTTTATCGCTGACGTACGTTGGAGGTTCGGATCCCCTCTATTAATTGCGTGATGCGGAATATTCCTGAAATCATCCTTTCGACTCTGTGTTCTAGAACGTCCACTGATCATCTTAACGCCCTGCTTATGTAGCGACCAGTCTTTTGACGCATGTGTTAAGGAAGGAAGATTGTGCAGCCGAAAAGACGGGTTCGGGGTCAGATGTTCTTTGTTCACCTTATTACGTCCTCGATACTTTTAAAGATTCCCAAATCGCTTGCTTCATCCTACTCAGCTCTGGAGCTAAGTCGTTCATTATGTTGACTTCGAGATCTAGATAGACGTAACTGGAGCATTCGGAGATATTCGTTCCATTGAATGTGAATAGAGCATATGAAACCAGCCCTTTCCTGATGAACATCGTTCTTATGAGATTTATTCGAAGACCAATCATTCCACATGCATTATCGAAGTCAGTTAGTATTCCGCCTGGGTAATGCTTGTCAATGCCAGTCACTAACGCCTCTTGTCCATCGCTTGTCATTCACACGCATTACATGTCCGGCCCAACTTATCTTCAACTGCTTGGCGTACAGAGCGGCACCTTTGATTTTTGATCGTTGACGCAGGTCGGAGCTTCGGATCCCATCCCTTACTTGTGTGGAACGTAATACTCGTAGCATCGTCCTTCTGATTGCGCGTTCAATTACGCTGAGTGATCCTTCATCGTGCTTACGTAGTAACCAAGTTTCTGACATATACGTTAAGGCAGGAAGCACCGTTGAGTCGAAAAGGTGGGCATGGAGTCGGGTATTTTTTGTCCTCCTCGCTACTTCTCCAATGCTGCTGAAAGCTCCCCAAGCCGCTCTTCTCTTTCCGCTTAGCCCTAGAGCTAAGTCGTTCATCGTGTTGGTTTCCCGACCTAGATAAACATAACGGGAGCATTCGGAGAAATTCGTTCCGTCAAACATGAATGGGACATAGGAAACCAATCCGTTCCTCGTGAACATCGCTTTAGTGAGATCAAGTCGAAGACCAAACTTTCCACAGACTTTATCAAAATCGGCAAGCATTCGTTCGGCCTGGCTGATGTTTGGTGTTATATGGACGATGTCATCAGCAAGGCGAAGATGGTGTAATTGCGGACCATCGATTTTCACTCCCATATTATCCCATTCCAATGCTCGCGTGACGTTCTCTAGGGTGGCGGTAAATAATTTTGTCAAGATGCTAGCTCCTTGCCTAGCTCCTCTTTTGACGTCGATGTTAATATTGTTGGAAAACGGTGGTGTTTTCGTTGTGACACTTTTGTAGAATTCACATGGAATCATTATTTATTAGGTAGAGATGTCCTCATTGTCTAGGGATTCCACTACTGCTTCCTACTCAGCTGAGTTTAGAGGTTTCTTTAAATCGATGAAACAGAAAGGAGACCTCTTTTCTCTCATGGTAGTCCAGTGAGTCTGCTATCCTGTTGATGTGGTCCATCGTGCTGAATCCTTTTTGAAACCGTGCTGGCTCATAATGGCTGTCCGCCCAGTGTTCTGTTGATCTTGTTTAGAATGATTCGAGTAAAGAGCTTGTAGACGATAGACAGCAAGCAGATTAAGCAATAGGTGCCGACATCGTGAAACTCTTAACTTTTCTACAACAACACAGTTTTTTGGGGATTCCTATTGAGTAGAAACAGTTAATCTTGTCAAGTAACATGTGAAAGGCCGAGTGAAGGTGTTGCTGAAGGCTGGCGGTAAGATCGCCTAATGTTCAGGTTTCCTCCTGTTCGGACCGGGTGCTGCACGATTTTTTACCTGCAAAATACTATATAGGATTTCGGAGAGGAGAACTGGCAGTACGATATATTCATTTTCCTTTGCTTCATGTAAGGGAGGGGAACGTTGCTAATGAAGAGATCCGAGTAGTAATTGTGGATAATTTTCTCAATTACATTAAAGCCGTCTTTCCTTAAACCACATCAAGAACAATAAATATCTTCTTCGATTACCGAACTAACGTGAGACTGATAAAAGAAAAAAGATCTATTCGCTTACGGTTTTGAGACCTTCGTTTCCTCCAGAGCTGGGCTGATCCGAATCGATGGTAAACAGATATAGTCCTCGCTATATAATTGTTCGTTATCGCACTTAGTCGAATCTAGTGAGATCGAGCACGGATCTTATGAGAAGAATTCACTCGACGGTGTCTTCTTTTAAGGAAAAAATGTTAATCTATAGTGGCCATTGGGTATGGTCTGGTTTTGCAGCAGTGCATCCTGCAACAGGTGGCGTTTCATTAATTGGCACGCAGCACGAAAATATCATAAAACCGACTTTCACTAAAGCTCAGTAAAAACAATGAATACCTTCCTTGATTGCTAAACTAATAAAAGATTGATAAAAAAGCAGCCGAATAAATCCGCTGTCATGTTATCTTAATAATCGATGAAGGTATTTAATCTTTTTCACTTCCTTTCTGGTAGCTGTTCCATCTGGGCGTCGGAGCGCAATCATCTTGGTTTTCTAGATGACTAATTTTTAGTGGCATTTACGAATGCTTTTTTTATCTTCTGCAGCTTTGGCCATGATTGCAGTCATTTCCTTTTAAAGTTCTTCTTCTATCACTTTTCTGCAGTGTTTTGCAAGTTCGGACGCGAGTTGACATTTCCCTACGGCTCAAGGAATTCTGCGTGGAGAATTAGCTCTAATGTTTTCGGCGACAGATCTCTCTTTGTGATATTGGAACTCTCTGGTTTCATAGAGAAAACATGTTATATTTAAAAAAGCCGGTCGTATTCCTCCTTAATGTTATCAATAACGGAATTTTCTCAAGATCTAACTATTGATCCGAATAACTCTATTTAATTGTGGTTTTCGGATTTTGTTATTCGAAATTGTCGACCTTCTATCCTTCCCGTGACAATTGGAGTCTTGCGAGGAGGCAGTGGTCTGATCCAGTGTAGAATTTTGGTACAACACCGGCATCGGTTAGGTAAGACCTTTCGGTTCACTACGACGGGTTCCGTTTTGTTATGGTGCTCTGCAATTGGGACTTCCTTGTCCAGAGTCGAGCACAGGGCTTATGGGATTGTGAATTATCATGAATGGTCACTGTTGTCATGGTGAAGTTAAACAGCCACTTACCATACTTTTTCCAATCTAATCCGTGAGTATCTAAAGACCTTAAAGAGAGAAGAACAGCAGTTATGAATGAAGCTGCAGAGGCTGGAAAAGCATTCGCAAAGCTCACCGAAGTTTCGCCCATTACAAAACCAAGATTACTGCACTCCGACGTTCAGACAGAACAATTACAGCGTCCAGACAGGCAATGGAGGAAACCGTTCACGAATACTACTCGGATCTTTTCGATAGCCACGTCTAGCTTCCGCCGCATGAAATAGAGGAGGGTGGATATGTTGTACCACCGGTTCTTCCTTCTGAAATCCGACATGCCATTCGTCGGTGAAAAATAGAACAGCACCAGGTCCGGAGAGAATAAGGCCAGAACACCCGAAGAACCATCCGCCAGCCCTCGTAAACACACTGGCTCGGCTCTTCACACATTACCTGTTTGAATGTAAGGTCGCTACTCAGTGGAAGACCAGCAAGACCGTGTTATTGTTGAAGAAGGGTGACCTACACGACATCGGTATCTGTCACCCTATATGCTTGCTGTTCGCTGTCTACAAACTTTTCACTCGAGCCACCTTAAACAGGATTGGCACAACACTGGACGAAGCACGGCCATGTGAACAAGCAGGGTGTCGAAAAGGATCTAGTACGATGGACCACATCCAAACGGTAATAATGCTCATTGGAGTATCGCGAGGGTACAAAAGACCGCTCAGTCTCACTTTCATTCATTTACAGAAGGCCTTTGATTCAATAGAGATAAAAGCAGTCTTGGAAGCCCTTCATAGTCAAGGAGTCCTTACTCAATACATAAAGACTCTTCGTGAGCTGTATAAAAACTTCACTACCAAGGTATCACCATTCTACAACGATATTAACATTTGCATCAAAAGAGGAGTTAGGCAAGGCGATATAATCTCGTCAAAATTATTCATCGCCACCCTCGAGAACGTCATGTGAACACCGGAATGGGATAATATGGGAGTGAAAATCGATGGTCGGCAATTACACCATCTTCGCTTTGTTGAGATATCGTCCTTATAACACCAAATATTAGCCAGGCCGAACGAATGCTTGCCGACTTTGGTGAAGTCTGTGGAAAGATTGGTCTTCGACTAGATCTCACTAAAACGATGTTCATGAGGAACGAATTTGTTTCCTATGTCCCATTCACATTTAACGAAACGAATTTCTCCGAATGCTCCAGTTATGTTTATCTAGATCGGGAAACCATCATGATGAACGACTTAGCTCTAGGGCTAAGCAGAAGGAGAAGAACGGCTTGGGGAGCTTTCAGCAGCATCGGAGAAGCAGCGAGGAGGACAAAGAATACTCGACTCCATGCCCACCTTTTCGACTCAACGGTGCTTCCTGCCTTAACGTATATGTCAGAAACTTGGTCGCTACGTAAGCATTATGAAAGATCACTCAGCGTAATTGAACGCGCAATCGGAAGGACGATGCTACGAGTATTACGTTCCACACAAGTAAGGGATGGGATCCGGTGCTCCGACCTGCGTCAGCGATCAAAAATCAAAGGTGCCGTTCCGTACGCCAAACAGTCGAAGATAAGTTGAGCCGAACATGTAATGCGTGTGAATGACAACCAATAGACAAGAGCCGTTAGTGAGTGGATTCCTCGGGATGTCAAAGGTACTGCATGAAGACCACCGACCTGATGGTCAGAGTTCTTCATAAAGAGCCTAGAAGAAAGATATGATGCTCAACGAGTTCCTAGAGCGAGCAGAACCCACTGGACTACTCTTGCACGCAACAGGGAAAATAGAAGACTTATTGGCACCCGCTCGAGTCACTCGGCGGCCAGCATAACTACAGGTGAATCTTTGAGTGCCAGTATGACGTTTTCTGGTGCTCTCCTAGATCCAATCCTGGCGTTAAAATCTGCAGTCATGGCTTTGTAGAATGCATGGTCTTTTCTGTATAATTTTTCCATGTTTATATAGAGCACTTCGACTTAGTCTTCGTTATAGCTTAACGTCGGTGCGTAGACGACAAAGGCTGGCAAAGCCGATATTGATCCATTTCTCTTCAATCGTAAACGAGTCGGGTCGCTAGTTGTTCAAATGAACCGATCCTCATGATCTAGCTCGTGTTGACGAGAAAGCCGACCTCGTGGACTCTTCCACTGTCGCACGCTCCAAGGAACAGTTCTTCTCCGGTGTTATAGACGGCGTTGAATGGGTGGCGTCGTCTCGTCTGAACCAATCCGATGATGTCTTACCTTATCCTTCTTGTCTACATGATCAGATCCACTATGAAGGAGTCAGGTACAAGCGAGCGTTCATTGTAGGTACAGATCATTACTTTAGTCGCTCGAAATTTTGGCATTCTAGAATGCATTTAGCACCCCTTCCATGCTCGTCGTACTCAAGGCGGCTCTATCGGGGGCTTTTTCAAGGTCAGGTGAATGAGTCCAAATTACTTTCGTGTGTTTAGCATCTGATACTCACCGGCGGCTTACCAGTCCTTCTGAAAGTAGATGAGGGTTAACTCGTTGGAAGCGACTCCTAACCGCCTCCCATCTATTTCTTAGTCACTTGATTTCAGGGTTCTGGCCGAGATGAACCGGGGAACACAACCAGCATATAAGAGAACTTGCCGACGCCCACACGGCATGTGTTTGCTTGCACAAACACGAAAATATATTTCAAACTGGCGCAGCAGAAACAGAAAGTCCATACCCTAGGTCCATTTGCATCTGAAGAATGCACGAGGGTACTTTTAACCCGCATTTAACACTATCGCTACCTGGGGACTACATTGCTTCGCCTTTAACCGACTAGACATTACTCATTGAGAGAGATCCATGAGAACTCTATAGAGTGATAGAAGATAAGAAAGCAAGAAGATTCCAGTCATCAATAGCTACTCACCGATTGATGCAGATGATGTACAGGAATTATAAGTATTCTTCTATTTACTCGAAATATTATCTGTAGTGAATTATCGTATTATAAATTTTATGTCGGAGACTTTATTTTCGAAATAGAAAAGGTCTACGAGAACGAAAGCAGGATCCGAAAGTTTGGATGAGGAGAAAGGAATGAGAATGGAAACCGTAGAAGAGTTTTGCCGGAAGTTCCACATCGGTACAGTCAGAAAAAATTGTTAAAAGCAGTACAATATGAACTACTCTGAATAATTAGCGTCGGGACTTGTGCGAGTAAAATGTTTGGTGTCATCATCAATGCATGACAATGAGATTACTGAAACTTTAGGCTACATGGAACTAATAGCGGTAAAATTATAAACCAATTTTTTTCGTTTCACAGTCTCGTACCTGGCTCTAAAATCCCTGCTAGATGAAAAACCACTTAGAATTCATTCCTCTGACGTTCGAATTGGGACGATGATATGAAGAAAGACACAGCTGAAGGACCAGACAGTATTATCTCCAAATTCCCTAGAGCTAGAATCTAGAATTTACGTGTAGTTTTCGCAAACCATATGACGCCTACCTTCAGGAGGAAAAAATCCTAGACCAGTGGAATACGGTGCGCACGGTTTACCTGTCTAAAAAAAAGGTGACCAAAGGTCATTTTATTGCTCATATGAAAGACCTTCAATAAGGCATAACCAGTTGAGCAAGCAGAATCCCGATAGTGATAGACCACGCACCAACCGCATCAAAGTTCATAGAAATTTGTGAAAGTACCACTTGTTCCAGCTATCAGTTACAAATAAATGTTCTACAGCGTCGAAACGAATGCAATAGTACCACCGCTCGTTGACCAAGAACTGGATCCGTTTTGCATAAGATCTCTATGTGACTAATATCGGATGTGCGCCACGCACATACAACTATTCGATCGACCCTTTACGTAGGAAAAGCGACAATGCGGCACCACATTGCCCAAGGTATTTACCGCAGCACTGCAGTGGATAATGAAGTCACTCGATTGGGACAACAAAAGTACAAGCACAGGTGGAAAATTCCTACCAAATCTTCATTTTGCCGCCAATATCGTCATCTTCTTAAGAAATACCAGTAAGGCAAAAACGATGCTCAATGAACTCAGCGAAACGTGAAAGAAAGACTTGACTACGGATAAATCCAAATAAGATACAGTTCACCAGAAGCCCATAGTGAGAAGGTAAAAAAATCAAACTGGCTGGATCTCTGATTATAGAGACCACCTTATGCATGTACCTTGAGCGTTGAATGAACGTGGAGAACAACAAAATAGAAGAATTAGCAGAAGGAGGTGACCATCATGGATCGCAATCTAGTCTTCCAAAGAATCCGCTGACCAACTGTGGAAGACCTGAAAATTCGCACTCGGCTTTTTGATTCTTCCATTACTTCGCTATGCTGCAGAGACGTGGCTTGGTGCTTGAGCAGCGGCAAGAATACTATACGATATTCATAGAACGCTCGAATGAAGTCCTCTGAAATACAAGCGATACACACAACATCTAACCGAAAAGTGAAACTCTGATCCTCGAAATCTATCTCATCTTCGACACCCAGGAGAATATATATGGATAGCGAAAGATTGATGACCCGGTCCTATAATGAGAAGAACAGACGACAAATGACGAAAAGAACAGTACTGGCACTGTAAGGCTGCCCATCGAAGTATCCTAGTAAACCGATACAGCAATAGGAAGTGTTTCTATGATGATGATGTGTTCTCAATCGCTCAAGATCTGTGGTTATTGGGGAAAAAATTTATCGGTGGTTGTCAAAAATCAGGCACGGTTGCCGGTGCATTGACCAAAAAAAGGATTATTCGAATTTGCAGCATTTTTCCACGGAAGTAAGAATCTATTTATTTTGGTAGTATTCATTCTTGAAGTATCAGAAGAGACGAAATGTAAGGAATAGAGTTAGGTGCGGAGATGAGTGGTTCAGCTTGTGTACATGAATTTGCCACGCGGGTCCTTTAGATGTTATACTGATCGACCATCCTCAATCTTGGGTAATTGAATCATACATATATGTATATACGTATACATAAATACAACATTAATAACATATTCTTTGTTCACGATTAAGCTGACGTTTCGGCGGATTTCGCCTTCTTCAGAGCCTGGAAAGGTCAAGTTGATAGCAATCCACTCGGCCAGACGCCTCCATAACCAAACAAAGAAACTCCAAACCAAGATTTCAATCACTTTGAACGCAGCTTAGGTTGAAAACCATAAGACTTTCCGTTAGTGATAAGGGTGGAGAGTTTGTCGTAATTCCTCATCAGTTAGATCTGGAGATAACGAAAAACCATCTTAAAGATGCTTCGCTTTATCGCCCATCATCTGAGGAAGAACTCAAAAGTAAATACCGAAAACTAAACCACGAATGGGCCAAAATGGCAAGGGCTGCTGGTTTGAAACCATCAGTTATCTCTAAACTTAAAGTTGCCTTACCAACATGCCCCGTCTTGTACTTGCTTATAAAAACTCATAAGTTAGTACCCAGCGATGATCTTGCGTCTAACGATCCATCACTATTTAAGGTTAGACCTATCATTAGCTGTGTAGACGGGCCAACGGACAAGATAACATGGTTTTTAACCCTAATATTTAACCAGTTGTTGAAACACATTCCAGCCCATCTTACGAATACCCAGATGTTTCTGGATCGTCTACATACTGCGCAGCCCAACAGCGCGTGCGTGATGGAGTCCTTCGACGTTACCGCCCTTTATACAAACGTGTCGAATGACTCCGCAATGCAAGCCATATTCGAACTCCTTACACAACACGAAGGAGAAATAAACATGTATGGCTTCAGGATTGAGCACCTGATGGCACTCTTAAAAGAATGCTTGGGCTACTCAATCTTCAGATGGTCTGGAAAGTACTACGCTCAAATAAGAGGGTTGGCAATGGGGCAACGACTGGCTCCAAGCCTTGCCATTGCATTTATGTCTAAGGTGGAAGCACCGGTGACTGATCTCGGGCCGCTACTATACTGTAGGTATGTAGACGACTGCTTTGTCCTTTGCTCAACACAAGAGGAAATGGACAAATGCTTCGAATTGTTAAACGCACAGTCAGAGTATATCAAGTTCACCCGAGAAAAGCCGAAAGAAAAATGGCTTCCATTTTTGAACGTACAAATTCACCTATCAGAAAATGGCTACATTACAAAGTGGTACCGAAAGCCAAATAGTAAAAATATCTTGGTTCATTACCTCTCCTCTCACCCCTCTCACACGAAAAGGGCGCTTATAAGAAACATGTTTNTGCTTCGAATTGTTAAACACACAGTCAGAGTATATCAAGTTCACCCAAGAAAAGCCGAAAGAAAAATGGCTTCCATTTTTGAACGTACAAATTCACCTATCAGAAAATGGCTACATTACAAAGTGGTACCGAAAGCCAAATAGTAAAAATATCTTGGTTCATTACCTCTCCTCTCACCCCTATCACACGAAAAGGGCGCTTATAAAAAACATGTTTCGGACAGCAACCAACGTGTGCACGGGAAGAGAGCAGAGAGAGGAGTCCCGGAACTTGGCACGGCAAATAGCCGTTTCTAATGGCTACGAAACTGTAGCTCAGAATAGGTGTTGAGGAAATCGTAGGCCTCCAAACGACAACTCTAGCGATAGAAGGGTTCCGTTTATCCTACCCTTCATCTCAAATGATATAAGTACAGCTATAAAACGCTGCTTAAGAAGGGCGGGCTTAGAGAATTCGGTGAGCGTAGTTGAAATACCACCGAGTAATCTTAAGCGCCAGCTAGTTCGTAACCGCCTATATGACCGTCTATGTGCAACTCAAAATTGCATAATTTGCCCCAGTGGTAGAGACGGTGATTGCATGAGCTCGGGTATAGTTTATCTGATCTCCTGTAAGACGTGTGGTGACGAATACGTTGGCGAAACGGGTAGACCACTCTGTGCCCGCATAAAAGGACACCTAGTCGGCAAACACAACCTAAATTCTCCGCTAGGCACGCATATGACCCAGAGACATAACGGGGAGGACTTTGAAGTACGTGTCACGATCCTCGCGCAGAAATTAAGAACACAAGCGGGCAAAACTCTCGAGGCACTCTGGATTAATTCCAGAAATCCGAAAATGAACCGCAAGGAAGAATGCCTCATTATCACGCGTGATATAGGGCAGTATATAAAACTGCTTTTCTGATGTGAGGGGCACATTATACTTCCACGTGATTTCTGTGCGGTTAGTCTCTACGTGACATACTTAGTGGAAACCTCATAGAAAGCGGTGAGTGTGCAAAGCTGCGTTCAAAGTGATTGAAATCTTGGTTTGGTGTTTCTTTGTTTGGTTATGGAGGCGTCTGGCCGAGTGGATTGCTATCAACTTGACCTTTCCAGGCTCTGAAGAAGGCGAAATCCGCCGAAACGTCAGCTTAATCGTGAACAAAGAATAATAACACCTCGCGTTTGCTCAACAAAAATACGAAGAAAATCACTTGATCAATGCCGAGGTTATTAGAAAGTCGGTCGTGGCAATTAATAACATAATAACAGCGATAGAAAAGTAGTGGCACAAGAATCTCGCAAGTTAATGTTATGAAATGCTATGGTTAGTAGTGAAGATAACAAGGTAGTAATGATAAGAAAAGATAATAAGCCAATAACAAAGATAATGGTATTGGAACATTAGTACATAACTAACACAATAGTAATAGCAACAATAACAACATAAAAATAACGCTGATGCGAGGTTGGTATAGGTCTTCGTTGTCATTATCGTTGTTGTTGTTGGTGTTGTTGGTCGATGGCCCACGTTTCCACGATTTCGCCTTCCTCAGACCCTGGACGTATTTTATACAAGAATACTTTAATTATTCGGTGGAAAAAGGCTAAAGTATTAATGAAGACCATACTTTCAAATATACATACACAGTATGGCGTCTATTTAAAAGTTTGGTCTTCATTAATACTCTAGCCTTTTTTCTACCGAATAATTAAAGTATTCTTATATAAAATACATCCAGACTCTGAGGAAGGTGAAATCTCCGGAACGTCAGCCATCGACCAACAACACCAACAACAACAACAACGACAACGAAGCACGTTCAATATCTCCAAAGTTAGTCGCACAATATTTGATCGAACATCATCGAACAACAAAATTTTTTGCACGATGTCGATTTCGGAACTGGCACTTCTTGTTTCAGTCGGTTATTTGCTGACAATACTACAGCATTCCGTCTCCTGAGGTATTAACTGAGGCTCAATAAATTTTAGTGGGTTATTCCAGCTGTAGACTAGCAAACGGTCGCATTATCCTTTCGGGATTAATTTTGATTTCGAAAGCGTTTATATCAACAATTGTCCTACAGTAATCACTTTCCATCTAACGTCGCTATGTGACTGAGTAATGGACTGCGTTTCTTGCGTCGAACCGAGTTCTGATGATTTGTTATAGTAAAGACGTCTTTTCTTTTCAATCAAAGAACGTGCGACAAACATTTCTCAAGCGTTTTACTTTCTCGTTGTTTTCTAAGTGACTAATAATAGTCTTTTTCTTAAAATTGGGCTCTTCCGAAATCGTTCGAGTGGTTTTTAGAGTGTCAGCTTCGATTATCACCTTGAGATGGTCGTACCTGTTGATGGATATCCACAACATTCTTCGTTGTCCAAACTCTTATCTCTGGGATGAAACTTTTTGACCTGGCCAATTTGCGCTCGGATACGCTTTCCCAAGCCATGCCAACGTCATTTTGAGATAATTCCATTTTTGAGCTCAAGAAACAAAGCTGTACGATTTCTTTCTTGTTCTGAATGTATTATTTCAGCCAATTACAGTGAATTATGTGACAGCGAATAGATTGCAGTAAATAATCAATAAGCTCGAAATGGATCCGAAAATCATGAAAAGCATTTTTACAATATGCATTTGCATATTCCCAATTATTATTAACGATAAGCCATTATCACCAACAGCCGTGCTGTATAAAAGAGTACCGCCCAATGAGTCGCTTCATTCGAGTGGGGCTCCACGAAGAAGACACGACTTGTTACAACGACGAGGATACCACATCGAGAATACGAACGACTGTGAGCCGTCGATTCGGATCATCTGCTCTGCTGAGGCCGAAGACGTAGAAACGTTAGTCGAATAAATGTTTGAAAGGCCAGGGTGGCCTACTGATAATGCTAAACACGCGGAAGAAGCTGGTTCTACCTCGCACTAAGCCAACCAGATTTCCAATCTCTCCGAGTTTGGGATATTGGTCACAGGCGATCAACTCGCTCCCTGTAATCCACAAAAGACCTGAGCTTCCCTTAGAACGGCTATCACCGGATTCCAGTGAGAATCGACTTAATCAGCATTTAATTGTATTCATGAAAAAGACATGAAAAAAAAAGTTGTCGAGTAACAGCCATGCCCATACGCAAAAATACGAGTTTTTGGAGTATGGGAGACAAATCCAGTGTAAAAATTGCTGAGCCAAGCAAGACATGCGTTGTTGGGTCGTGTGAAAAGTAGTTTTCATTTTCACCGGAGTCTATCTTTGCTTATGGAATATGGATAGTCTTTTTCGTCTCAGTCTCATTTGGGTTGTATTCACAAGCCTTGTGTTCATGTTTCGGCAGTGATTACTGAAATTTTAGGTGCCGGTGGTTACAAGACAGTGGGACACTTGGTATACAAAAGCTGCGAGCGTAAGCGAATTACGTGTTTTCGCTCCGACGACGCCCAGCCCTCGACTATCTACCATTGCAATAAAAGAAATATTTCAAAAAAGAGGCAGAAACTCCAACAGTGGGCGGTCATTTCTAAATTCTTTCACAAAAAATAGGGGAATAGACCATGCAGCTCTTCTTACCACATCGATTCCAATGGAATCCTCTGCGCAACCAACTCAGACAACAAGGAAAAAGGAGAAACAGATCACCACTGGCTGGTCGTCTCCGACTTCTTTCACAAAAAAGACGAAAATCGACAAATCTCATGTAGCTTTTCTTACCACCTCGATTCCAATAGAATCCTCAGCACAACCAACTCAGACGTCTGATAAAAATGGGAGGCAGACCACCTCTAGGCGGTCAACTCTAACTTCTTTCAGAAAACAGCCGAAGTACACCAAATACCACGCAGCTCTTCTTAATAGATCAATTCCAATAGAGACCTCCACACGGTCATCTCTCAATTCTTTCACAAAAAAAACGAAGATCGACAAATCCCATGCAGCTTCTCCTAGTACATTGGATCCATTGAAGTCCTTCACGCAATCCATTTCGATGACTGCGGCTCTGAAGAAGCGACAAAGTATTGAGCACTTTTCATCACTGGTCAGAAATAAACTACAATTCTCAAAGTCGACAAGGAAGATCAAGGAAGTGATCTCGACGACCATGTCCACATTATCAACTTCGAGTACTTTTCTGTTAAGGTCAGTTTTCTTTTTCCGTTTACTCCATTACACAAAAAGATTGTGTGAAAATTGTGTCAAGAATAAGATAAAGAAGGTCAAAAATTCCATTATAGATCTACTTGAAACGTTTTTGAAGGACATCTCGATCGGATCAGCAACAAACACGAAGTGTATTCTCATCAGCCAAAGCAGTGGAAAGGAGGAAGAAGAAAATCCGAGCAACTGTATCACCTCGTCCGGGTGGAATATGGCGCCGAGGAACGATAATTTTCGAAGGTGCAAAATTAACATCGGCTGCCACAATGGCAACAACGACAACAATGGCAGTTGCTTCTGTACCTGCTTCCGTAGCAGTTTTGGCAGATAAAAATATTCGTCGTTTGAGGAAGCGGCCTGCGACGAAAGACCGTCAGTCTCAAACAAGGTATTCTGTTATATTCAACAGTATTCGACAGGTATTAGATTGCGACCGCCTTATCTAAGGGTCGAATATACGCTCAGAGGGAGAATGGGAATTTAGACAGATGAGATACCTAGCTTTTTTCTTTAAAAAAACTGTATTTCTTAATGTTAGCCTCTTATTTTCTGCCTAACGTAATTTTTCACGGCAGGGTATGTTGTGAATTACAGCCACAGCATTGCTGAGATATTAACAAAATTTGGACCCTGTGCCAGATGAAACCACGGTTTCCTTTTCTGGGGGCTCTCGCATTACACACTGTGTCACGAAAGCCTTTACTCTGCGCTTCTCTCAGCTAGTTTTCTACTCACATTTCTGTCTGGCATTTCTTAAAATTAGTGTTCTCAGCATAGTGTATTTCAGTCTTTTTATTACGTCATGAACGGGATACCAGCTTTTTGAAGCGTTCAGATTCAACATTCAGTTAAATTCAACAGAAGCTTAAAGAGGTCCACAATGTTGATCGACCTTCTCGGGATAGAAAAGTGTTTTGATCCTCGATTATGAGTTGCCGGCTTGCTGTATGCGTGTAATGATTAGAAGATAGTGGTTGAAAGTGAGACTGTCGTTGTATATGATGAATGAGGAACGTATAGAAAAGTGCAACTATAAATAATGGGCATATTCCGTGAAAAACCACAATTCCTCTGAGCCGTAATCATCGTTGATGAGCAGAATTACGGAATGTTATTTCAAAGCAGCAGCTGTTGGAGAACCGTGGAAAATATGCTAAATTTCCAAGTATCTTTTATGAATGCTTTAACAACTTGTCGTTGTTCAACGATTCTTCTGAATAGTACTCATTTAAACACCATTTACGCAAATACCTCTAGAAGAAGCTGTAAATATCTCAAAGTGTATGCAAAAGCTTTGCTGGTGGTCAATTTCTGCTGTAGGATTAAGAGAATAACAGTCACTGAATGATTAAATCAAGACGTGTGATTCGTGCACTTCACATCCAGATGGATCGGAATTCTGTCCGCATTGCATTCTCATTCGTGCTCTACGGAATTCTTTGAAGCCTAGCGGATATTCCTAGTTACTTACAATTTTGCTCGCACGAAAAAACCGAGAGCTTTACAATTTTTGTTAAGGCCTTCGTGCAAGAAGCTTGATCACCGGTCTTGTCGTTATTAATCTTACACTTGGTGGCATCTTATCATGAGCTTATGCTGTCATATTGCTACCGTTAAAATACATCAAAATACAAAATACAAAATACACATTAAAATTTCTAGAACATATGATTTTCCAGAACTCTTCGTATACGGCAGTGCATATCGTTGCCTTCTTGATACCTCGCTCGTTAACAGTATCATCTCAGCACAGGTGTTATAGCTGCTAGCCACTGACTTCCACTTTAACGTTACTCCACATTCCGTTTTTCTTCTCATACGAAATTCTTGAGGGTGGTGCTAAACAGGTTTGGCGACAGGCATCGTCCAACAAATAAGCGCCGCTATCAATCTCTGTCTCGGAGGCTGTGGAAAGCTGTGGATGAGTTCACCCAGTTCTATGATAGCAGTTTGTAGAATTAGTGCTTTATTCATTCAACCGATTGGTGGCAAGAATACCAATTCAGTGAAGAACTTTTGATTCGAATTGAAGCTTATGCTTAGAAAGTTGCTGATCAGCGCCGGTCTTTTAGCACTCGCCTACGTTCCAATATTAAGCTACGACGAAGACATCACCAAGGCTAGCGTGGAGGATTTCCTCAAAGAAACATCGCACCTCTAAGAAAATATCTTCTCGACTATATTGAATTTGATGATGAATTGTCAGCTCTGTTAAATGAAGACGCGATTCCTCCCATTTCTTCTAACAGTAAGGAAATAAGTAAGGAAGATGTCTACTCCATTTTTTTTTCGTTTCACAGCGTCTCCGCCACATACCAAAAGTTTTCGCTGCAGAATAACCACCTCATATTCATCAATTTGAAGTCTCTGATTCTGTCAAGGACAAGGAGTGAGGAGCAGTTCCAACACCATATAAAATCACGAATGACATTTTTTAAGCTCGAAGCAATACCGCACGTGTTTCCTGCCAGCCTCATTCCTTCAAGAGAGAAAAATATTAGATCAGTGCAGCAACTCTTGCATAATCATTCTGCTGAAGTCCTATTTGCTTGTTGAGTGCAACTATTGTGCGTATCAATAGTTTTGCAGAAAGCTGAGCTCCTTGTGCAAGTAAACACTGTTTTTGCAGTAAACCCTCTCTTTTGTTCCAACTTCTACTTCTGTAGGGTCCAGGCGAAACTTGTTTCATTAGTGATGCAATGGTTATTAAATGCATAAAACTCGCACTCAAAAGAGAATTATCTACTTGTTTTCGTAACTGCACTAAGGCAACGCAGCTTCTACAGGCGTATTTGTGCTAAACAATCACTTATGAATGCCTACCATTACATTTAGTCAGTGTCTTATACTTACAAATAAATCACCAAACTGCCGACCCCAAAACGATTGAGGTCTCGGTATGTTAGGAGCACGGTCCGTACCAATGGCTCTACCTGTATTGCAGGGGACCTATAACGCATCATTTATAGCCGAAACTCTTCATTATCGGATTGCAAAATAATGAGCTCGTTGGACAAAGCTCACAAATTCGCGAGAAGTAGTCAAATCATTATGAAGGCTTTAGATGACAACAAGATCGTCATCTTTTCGTGGAATACCACTGAAACAGGGATATCTCTTGAAAGATCCAGTGAATAAAGGAAAACAATAACGATAAGAATTAAGAGGAACAGAATTCATGAAAGGGCCATCGCTCCTCGTTGGATGATCCAAGCATCTGGTTCCATACTACATGTATTTCAGAGGCTGAATAAACATAGAAAACGACGTTACGGTTGTTAGTGTGAAGAAGACGAAAAGCTTGCCGGCGAATTCACCTGCTAGCCATTGGACCCAGATATTCAACTATTCTCCTAATTTATACTTCCAAAGCTTTGCTGTGCCACAGATATTTAAGCGTTAATCGTTTAGAGAACCGAACTTGCTGAGGAATCATGAGGGCTGCGTACAAATTGCTTGAATGTCGTCTTCTGAAATATGACTGAAACACGGATAACATGTCAAACTACACAGTTTAAAAAACTGACAAATGTTCACTTACGATCTTTCGGGTCATAGACTAAAATTGAAATATAAATTTTCCATCAATGTGAAAAAAACGTTGGAGAAATATGAAGGCGGGGTTACTAAAAGGACGCAAGTGTCTTCATGGAGATTTTCTGCACGAGTATAAAGATTTGCACTTCGCGCATAACCTGCATTAATTGTTCAATAAGATTTGTGGATTGTGGTGAAGTACTTCAAGACGTCACCATGAACGAGAGCTGGACGACGTTCGTGAGGATTGGAATGAAAAAGTTGAGCAGCAGCCAGCATCATTGGTGAAGATGAGCCATCTAAATATTCAGGAACAGATTATTTGAACAAGCCCAATTTCGATAGTCAGTGCTTATTCATTCTTTCTTCTTTTAGCTCTTATAGCTTTCACGTACAACATTGTTTATTTTTATGTGTAGCAATATTACTCTCTTTACCAGCGGAAATAGAGTGAATGACGCATTATTTGTGAAGTTCTGCTGCAGAGTTGACGCTATTCTAGCTCACTTACCACGAAGATTGACTTCATGTGTTGTGAAGCGTCAAGATGGAACCAGTACCACTACTATCCCACCCTTTCTATTGACACATATCGATTTTTCTTAGCCTGTTCCAAATTCTAAGCAAATGGACATGAGACGAGCACGGAGAATGTTTCCTGCCTTTTCATTCGGTGGAAACTATTTACCTTTACAATTCTGCACTGATTTTTCTAGCGATTGTTTTTTACATAGGAACTCACACTTTCAGAGTGAAGCTGGCAATTTCGCCTGAACTTAGTGAGTCTACGTTGTCGTCACGACAACTTCGGGTGCCGCTGATTAAGAAAGATGGCATTCCAAAACCTGTTGTTATTCGACAAAATCCTGAAAGCTACAAAGGTATGCTAATGGTTTCTTTAACCACCTTTCTTTTTTAACATTAAAGAACAAAAAAGTAACAAGTCAAATTCATTTCGAATGATCACTAATTAAGATGGTTCCTGGGCCACGTTTTGTAATAGTGGCAGTGTAATGCAATATAATGCAGCATAATACTTACTGACTTGGATACTTGGATAGCTCGTCCTTACTGGCTCTGCGGTCCCCAGCATCTGAGTTTTGATAGTTTCGCCATTGTGGTTTTCTGGAATCTCGAAATCATCCTAACCAAAGTCTGCTCCAGGTTGTCACCAACGTAGTCCCCGCCCTTATGCATCAGATGGAGAATTGCTAACATGGAACTAGTTTGATACCAGGGCGGTGGCGGGTCTTAGCACTGGTCAGTTTTTAACTGAGCTTCCTGACAGAAGCGCCGGACTCCTTTCCAGTTTGGGAGGCCCTGGTGGGGAAATAAATTCCTCAGCTCTACAATGCAGCACTGGCTCGGTATATCGGTAGACCACTGCGAGCCGCTGTATTGAATTGAAATAATACAACAGTCCACATAATTCTGGTACAGGTAGTTAACCTTATATCTTACCTGAATTGGAGTACTGGTAGCGTAAATTCTGGCTCTCATAGCATAAATGGTATGAAAAGTTTGGAAAAATTGATAAAAATTTTTTTCAGTTTTTTTCAGCCTTTCGAGTTTAAAATTTTAAGACTTGGACAGGAGGATTTGAAATGATGTATTTGTTGAACAACGAAAGAGCTAGCGGGGAAGTTATTGCGGTGGGTATCGTCGTTCTGACATTTATACCCACGTAACTCGGAAACAGCTGAAAAAAAGAGATACACTTTGAAACAATTCAGAATTTAGTTACTGCCAAGGGGCACGACGATCCTGGCCTTGTGAATCGTATCTATCCACGGATCGTTTAGTTTGTTACGAAATGGGTCGCACATATTTTGCATTTTAACGCTAGCGAAAATATGACTGATCCTTGTCAAACAACCTCCAATGATGAATTTTAAGAATGTGTGGTTTCCTTTATAAAAGTTTTCTACGCCAGTATAGAACGTTTCGACTTCCTTTCTATCATGGTTTGACGTCAGCACGTAAACGACGAAGATTCTCAAAGGCGGTATTGATCCATATCTTTTCAGTCGTAAACGACCGATTCGGGTTGTAAGTTGTTCGAATGAATCGATGTTCATACTAGCATATTCTGGGTTCCATATTAGCATTAAAACTCCCAGTGATAACCTTGAAAAATGCATGATCCTCTCCGTAAAACTTTTCCAAGCCCATATAGAATGCACCGACTTCACCTTTGTCACAGTTTGATGTCAACGCGTAAACGACGAACACTGTCAAAGCCGGTATTGAACCACATCTCTTCAATCGCAAACTTCCGATTCGAGTTGTTAGTTATTCGAATGAATCGATGTTCATGAACAAACTCGTGTTGACGAGAACGCCGACGCCGCCGACTTCTTTACTGTCGCATCCTCCGAGGAACAGTTTTTCTCCGGTGTCATAGATGGAGTTGAAAGGGTGACGTCGTCTCGTTTCGGTTTGACCGATTACGTCGTAACTTACCCTTCTTGTCGGCATGATCAAATCCTTTATCGGAAACTCAGATGGAAGTGTGCGTGCGTTATAGGTGGTACAGATCATCATTATTGTTCCTTCCTATTTAGGCAGCTTAGAATGACTCTGAGATTTCAGCAGCCCCTCCGTTCTCGTGTTTCTCAGAACTTCCATTTCGACGGCTCTTTCGAAGTCAGGGGAATGAGGCACATTTTCTCACTTTGTTTAACGGTTCATACCCACATAAAGCTTGCTGAGCTCTGAAGATGGAGCCTTGCTATACTCACGGACAGCTTACCTGTGTATGTCAGAATGAACAGCAGCCTTATTTGTTGGAGAAGACTCCCAACCGTCTTCCATATTCTTCGTTGTCAGTTATTTGGAAGCTCTTGGCTGAGTTGAATGGTAGAACACAATCCACACAAACGAGAACATACCCATGCGTGCATTCATGAATACATTGTCGTAGACACAGAAGGTTTGTGCCAAATCGGGGCGGAAAAAACAACTAATCCTTTCCGCTATCTATCTGTGTTTCATTGAAGCAGAAGATCACTTTTGGCTCTTGATTAACTCATTTTCGCCACCTGGGGACGTGTGGCGTTGTCTAGCGCTTAACCGGAAAGAGATCCCTCTACGAGGAAGTTTTGTGGGATTTCCGGATAACTGTTATATTGAAAAGTGGCGACTTAAGTGGACGAGTTGAGTAGTGCCACCTGACCTCTCCTTCTCAGTGTTTCTGAAAAAGTTGTAATGTTAATGGTTTTATTAATGCCATTAAAATAGAAGTACAATGAATGATTTGTTTTCAAAGGAAAAATTTATTGAAGATCTCAAGAAGAAACAAGCAGAAAAGTATACGGCACTACGAAAATCTTTAAAGGACCCATGCTGCTATGTTTTCCACAATCTTCACAGAACTTATTAAGGACCCACATTCAACTGCCGAATTTTGAACGCCTATAATGATGGTGTTGCTACGGAACATCATGATCCGTCTTGCACGATGGTCTTTCCAGGTCTCTCAAAGGATGGATCATGCAGATGTTATTACAAGGTTGGTGATTTTGTTTTCTGGAGAAAAATGTCTTAATGAGCAACTTTGAACGCATATTCAATTAGAAGGAATAGCAGCCAATTCAATCGGACTATTGTTTGCTTCGATTCATGTGGGACAGGACCTTCGTTGACTGTTTTTCCTTCTTTGTAGTCAACACGACATAATGGGAACCCTACATTATAATTAACTAGGTAAGTATTTCGAAGGGCAGGTCTTCTAATGGGAAATTTTTGTATCACTCTTCAGTTGTAGCGCATATCTGTGGGGGTATGAAACCATTCGAATAGCATCTCCAATGCGTTTAGTTGACAGTTTATCCCTACCATACAAGTTTGCCAACGTCCGGTTGCCTATGCCGCTACAGTTTTGGAAAACCGTTTTCGTGATAAATCTTCATGAACGTGACAATTCCTTTGAATAGTTGCTGACTTGGTGTATCAGTCTACCTTTTATCGATAAATAGAAGATGTTTCGAATTTGGGTCTGAAGCCGTGCAACCGTAATAAAAATGATAAACTGAGTTTACGACGCTCTATTGGGTTGTTGCTGTTAGAAAAGATAATAACGTTTTTAACCCTCAACTTCGAATGTGCACTGCTTTGTTTGTGTTGATCGAAATGGAATAAGAACCGCTGTGAAACACACAATTATTTAACCATGAAAGCATTGGCTTATTTATTAAATCACAGCAGAACTTTAGAGTTTTGATGAGAGCAAACTCCCCAAAGCCCTTTTCGGACATGTCTTGAGTTCGCGATTTCCGCAACAAATTATTGTTAAAGTTCCCAGGATCGACTTTCTATTAACCCCTCAGCATTGGAATATGAATGTGTCGTTTTCTTGTTCAGCAATCGCGAGGTTTTTAAACAGCATATATTTACTTCCATAGAAGAACACAATACAATACAACGCTAACTGACGTTTCGGCAGTACCGCCTTCTTCAGAGTCTGGATGGGTACACTGATATACAATCTACTAGGCCAAACGCTTCAATGACACTTACAAAAAGACGAAAAACTCTTTGGTAATTACATGATCAACAACTTCTCGAAAAAGCTACCGCTTTTTCGTAACTTCCAATGAGGAAGTTTAGAACAGCTGATTATAGTCGCATATGGTTGACGACTGCACCTGGCAAAGCTTGGTGCCAATCGCTGTCCCATTGCCAACCCCCTTATTTGCGCGAAATATTTCCAGACCATCTGAAAACCGAGCAGTTTAGGCACTCCTTTAAGAGAGCCGTTAGCTGCTGGATGGACAAGCCATGCATATTTATTCTTCCTTCATGTTCAACAAGAAGTTCGAAGATGGCTTGCATTGCGGAGTCTTTCGACACGTTGGTATACAGTGTGGCAACGTCGAAAGACAGGTAAACCGAGGGACCCGGATAGTATGGTGGTGAACAGTTTACTCCCCGGAAAGGACAATAACGCGTTCGTTCCCCACCGCATACACCTGTGGTCCGGAGTTTTGCAAATATCTCAGCATTATATACGAATTTTGCACAAGTTAGTAGGTACAGATATTTCTGCAAAAAAACTTTGCTTCTACAATATTACAAGTACAGCTGTCAATCACGAGTGTTGTAGGTTTCATCGAGAGATGAGTATGGCTGTGCTGTCGGATTTCTTTACGCCTGCAAGCCACTATGGAACAGAAGCGTTGTTGTATAGAGAGATTATTAATGAGTATAAACGTAAATGTTTGCAACTATTGTATAAAGTAAATTATTATCAAAGCTCAAACATAAACTTTATGTACTCATTTGTATCCATTAATGAAACGATCACCAATTTTGGCAGGTGGAAATTGAGTACCTGGATATGGGACATCAGTGGGACGAATTCTAGTGGACTAGGTGCAATTTTCTCTCCTCCAAAATTCTGTTGATTGGACGAGCTTATTATTTCTTAACCTTTTTGTTTACTGCCTGTTCTTTTTTTAACGGCAGGGTATTTTGCGAAATGTAACTACTGTAATGCTGAGATATTTGCAAAACTCCGGACCTCAGGTGTCTGCTGTGGGGAACGAACGCGCTATTGTCCTTTCCGGGGAGTAACGAGTTCACCACTACACCATGCGGGTCCTTCGTTTCGCCGGTCTCTGAGCTAATTCTATCGATTTTCACCCGCCAGGAGATTGACCTAAGGAGGCCAAATCTGCATTGAAGCCAGTTAAGCCGAGGCTATAGTTACAATTACAATCTCAGTCTTTATAATTGTTTTGCAAATATCTCAGCATTACAATACTTATTATTTCTTTTCGAGTTTCGAACTACCAGTGCAAATCCGTTCATAGTTGCTCACTGTGTGCAGTCACGGAAGCTTTTGTAATGGAGGAAAGTTTGCTACCTTGTGACTAGATTTTTTCTAAACCAATAACGATACGTTGCAGTACGCAAAGGGTTTCTGAGCTTCCAGATAGAAGTTTTTAACTCCTTTTCAGCTTTCATGATCTTGTTGGAGTACAAATCCGATAATGTACATCGGCACACAGGCATCTGTAAGCGATTCTGTGCTAGACATACCTTTCTCGGTCACTACATCTTCTTGCATTTATTTGATACAAAGTTTCCTTGCAACGCTTATTTTCATTAGATAGCTTATTGAACGCCGATCAATATTTCAGTGGTACGAGCAAAAAAGTTGCTCTTTACACTTGTTGGTCCATAGAAACCCCTTTTCTATAGCATTTTGTTCCTCAAGGCTACTGAACTTGACATGCAGAAATATCACAGTTAACCGCCGATTACAAAATAGTAAACCATTGAGCAGATTTGTATGGATTTAATGTTATCATCGAAACCTGTTATTTTATTATAATTTTAAGCCTTTGTGGTTTTCCAGGTTGCAGTTATAAATGTGAAACCTACACCTGAAATCCTTCCAATGCACGCCCACATGCAATCAACAATTCAACCACAAAAATTACACTTCTCACATAAATCAATAGTCTTTGATTAAAACTTTTTTATGTAAAGTCGTGCCGACATGTACGAATTTAAAGCAACAGATAACCCTCTTTCAATAAGGAGTTTAAGTTACCCAACTTTCCAACTACTATATTTATTCGAAAACTGTTGGTAGTAATTGAAAACCTAGAATTTGCTTGAGTGGAGGATGAGTTTAGCTTTCTCTGTAACCGACTCAAAATTAGGCGTAGTCCACCACTAATGTTACGCGAAAACACGTCTTCATTATATTATTTGCAATACAGGTTAAATATGCATAACACACAGAGTCCGAGCTCCAGTTTCGTGTGACCACAGTTTCCAATTTACGCCTAATTTTTCACTTACAGTCACGTATAGGCTTCTCGTTATCAACAGTCTTTCTACTCTAACAACTAACTCACGTGGGTTTAGAGACATCTTAGTACACTCCTAGTCAGTGACATTCCGTGTGACCCAACCAACAAACTGATCCAAAAAATTGTTGCTCACGTAATATTAAGTATTGAGATCGGAAAGGAAATGACTGTACACTGTTGCATACCCACCTAACTGCCCGTCACCAATCCCACTTTCATATTTAGTCGAGTGATCCGAGATGGTACCAGTAATGGCCTCATTCGTTTTGGTCACGTGAAATCGACTCGGTGAGAATCATATTTTTCTTCCAAATTCTTCGTTAAGAATTCGGGCCATTACAGCAGTTCCCAAGATCGACTTTCTATTATCCTCGGCATTGGAGTATAAATCATTGGAGATTGTTATTCAGCACACGTCTACTTCTTTACAAATATAACACGTTCAACACAACAGTAGCTGACTTTTCAGCAGTATCGCCTTCTTTAGAGCCTGGAAGGGTACACTGATATACAATTTCACTGGTACACTGATACTAGGTTAAACACTTCAACAGCACAAATGGAAAGATGAAAATCTCAAAAATAATTACATGATCACCGGCATCTCGAAAAACCCACCGTTTTTAACCTGCTTTCCACCATGGAAGAACAGCCATTTAAGATCGCATATGGTTGATGACTGCACCACCCCATATCAAAAGTCAATTCTGAGATACGGGGCTAGATCACGTGTTATCTCAGGGCATTCTTCCCTGCCGTTCATTCTCGGATCTTTGGAATTTATCCAAAAAGGGTCGAAAAATTTGCGTTGCGCATTGGTGTTTTAGTCTTCCGCGTGAGGAGAGCGACTTTAACATCAAAATCCCCTCAGCTATGTTTTTGTAACCTATGCGTGCCTAGTGGTGCGTCTTGTTTTGATTTCCGTTTGCCATTCAGGTACTTTGTGCAAAAGAACAGCTCAGTGCAACCATCTCTATCTTATGACGAATTTTCAGTGAGCTTTAGGACCGGACCTCTTAAACTGTAAGCATCCAGTCCGGTTCGTTAGCTATTCGGCTTTGAATAGAACGACTTTCATGTAACTTCCATAATCATAAAATAGTGTTTACATAGAGGTTAAATGAAAATTTCTTTCTGGAATTATTGGCATGTTAGTCGTTCTCCCATCCGAAAAATTAGATACCAGAAAGTATAACACCGAGTTCTGCAGAACGCACTGCCAATCAAAAAAAAGTAGATCACATTGGGTGGCGGCAATAGAATAACATCCGCTCCTCATAAAAGGGCACCACGAAACGAGGTTAGTCCGTTCGAAGGTGCTGCTTCGAACTGACTGATGCGACAACGAGCACCTACATCGCAACAGCGACCTGCTTTGAGCCATCAACTCGGATCAACGCCGCTCTGTTGAAGGCGAAAGAGTCGAAATCTTAACCAAATAAATATTTTCATGCCAACCTCAAATCGTTCTAGTGATTTAAAAAAAGTACTGGACATAATATAGCTAAAATCATGGCTTTTACTTGGAATAATCACACGTGTCATATGCTATTTACGTTTGTATTCATTCACTCATATATTATTTACATTCAAAAACATTCAGCAATGTATGGTCCTAAGTCAGCTCGGTGTAAACGATGATACTTTAGAACTTTATGTTAGAATGCGTATCGTTGTAAATTACCCCGTAGACACTGAGATCTCTTTGCTTTTCCTGCCTAAAGCTGCTGTGTCGAAGTATCGAAATCAGAGCTATAACCACATCAGTCATGCTGTTTTAAGTAAATGGTAATGGCAAGTAGCTATCCTTGCTCCAGTTTTGGGTTGGACAAACTTGGGGATAACTTCTCGGTCTTTTCTGGAACAGAAGTAAAGTTGATCTGTTGGTAAGGACTCCTAACAAACTGCCATATCACTGCCACTTTTCGTTCACTTGAGTTCGGCTTTTAGCCAAATTAATCCGTAGGTACAATACCTTGATTGGTAGTACTTGATAATAGTGCCTATCTATAAGGAATTTGGACGCGTGTGGCAGTGGTCGGAGGCGCCCTGCAACCCACACGTGGAATCGATTTTCCGCGCCCATGGCCCACCAAGCCTTTGATCTCTCCGGACTGGGCAAATTGGTTCCATACTTGACTGGGAGGATATCAGCACTGGCTCGATACATCGGTAGGCCACCGAGACTCATTGTAAAGGCCAGACATGCATTCAATCATCTCCAACGGTACTTAATCAAGTCGGATGCATGGCGCATCCCTCAGGGATTAATCAACGCCGTAAGCTTTATCCTTTATTACATATAAGAAAACAATTATTCACGTGTTTATGAACTCGGTAGTGTACAAACAAAAAACTATTTAAATTTACACCTGCGGTCCGGAGTTTTGCAAATATCTCAGGGTCGTTATGGTTGTATTTCACGTAATACCACATAAAACCACGCCGTGAAAAATTATAGTAGGCAGGAAATGAGAAGTTAACGTTTGTTTGCTTAATTCCGAACAATAATGTTTCTTACTAGGTTTGATTATCGAAGGCCGTCTACTTGAAATGAGCTACCCTTTGTGTTTGCTACGTATTCTCGTAATTTGGGCAACTTTAGTTTAGTGAGTAGAACCATACAGTATTTGCCTCTCAAATATATTCTTTATGTTTGAATTCAATGGTATACGTGTTATCAAGCCGAATGATTCGTGATCCTCCCACAGCAACGGTTGTCATCATCTTTCTTGTCACATCCACCAGCAAAGAAACTTTTGCTTGAAAATACAAATAGTTTTTAAACGAACATGCAGTAAACTTTAATGAGTGCTCTCATTCGAAATGATTTTTATAGTTTCATCTATTTTGATAGTACTCTATACCAATGCCTTCGTATAATCATCCATGCGGTGCACCACTGACGATATTTTAGATGAGGTGAAAGCTTAAGTTTCTCAAAAATAAAAGAGTTTGGAAAGAGATTCAGCTAAAGATAAACAGCAAAAAGGAACGAGGCCAGAAAAGGCGTTTCTTATGCGACTTCGAATTTGTTATTCCTTCGTTCCATCATTCATTAGGCTTCAGAGTATCTACGTACACCAATTTGTGGAAGTGGTAAAGAAATGAAGGCATACCAGAAACAGAAATCGTAGTGTTCACTATGTGTTGCATTACCGATTAGAAATGCGAATGAATTTTAACGGCGGATCGACAGAAGTGTGTATTCGATGTCCTAATTGTCCTTTGGCTTAAAATGCGCGGTTTGTGGTCGAGGGCTTCTTCCAAGAGATGTGAAAGGCCGTCCTTCACGGATCTCCATGTCCTAGCAGAAATTCATTTACATGACGAAACTCCTAATATTCTTTAAAAAAAATCGCTAGAGCCTCTTTAAAACTTTATAGTACAAAGTGGAAAAGGAAGCTTCGCAGTCAGCCAACCATATAGAGTAAGAGTAATTATGTTGTTCGAAAACTTACCTTCAACCGTCGCTTCAATAACACCTTTCTTTCCTCGATAATCTTTTTAGCCTTTTCTTCTTTTAACTGTGTTACCTCTTCTGGCGTTTTATTTTGCTGTAATACGTGGAAGATATTTTCGTGTACACAGAGAATTTGGAAACATTGATATCGACTTACATAAGCGTTCTTGTTGACAACGAAACTCCGTATTTTTTTGTTTGTTCCCGTTGGACGTGAGTACTGTAGGAGGTACATGAGTCGATCTTTCGGCGCTAAGGAGAGCTCGAGCATCAATATCACTTGAGCCCACTGTAACAAATGATATTGGTTTCAGATCTTCAGTTACTAGCATTATCTTATATCGTTTGGTTACTTCTTCTTAATTTAGGTACGCAATGAGTCGTCCAGAAAGACGTCCGTTTTTCTACGTTCCGCTGCGAATCAAAGTATAAGATTAGTAAGATGTAAATTTTCGATCATACAGCTTAACAAAACAATAAGCTTCCCGAATTTCTGCACTCAATAAAAATTAGAATCATTCGCAAAGTTATGTTGCACCTGAACTTTCCCTTAGGTTGGTTATCTGAGCATCCCGCTACAAATTTGGAAGGATTTTGAAAGATTCACTCATCAAGCTATAAAACTCATTTCGAGTAAAACTGCGATTATGAATGCCAGTATATCGCATTTTGCAGACCTGCCGCTTGTATTCTTTCCTCGTACGGAATATTGTTTCGTAAGTTCTCGTCATCATAGCGATCAGCAGATTAAATTGCAGTATAGAAACTCCAAGCTCGAATATTAGAAAGATTGCCTGCAAATGCAAATACTGTCTTATCGTACGAAGTGGGTGGGGAAAAATGAATGCCCTTCTGTGAATGCAGAGAGTTCTGTAGGCATTCATGGCAAATCATCCACTTACTTTACCAATCCAAACCATCACTCTTGCTGGGCACATAGCCAAGTTCCTGTAGAGAACAGTGAATTCTCCAATGGTTAAAATAAAGGTACGTATGAAGGCTTCTGCTGGATTCTGTATGACGTTTTGGAATCTGTCCTGGTCTTTGTAACTGGGATGTTGTTCTTCCTCGGCACGCTCACAGCTCAAGAACACCAAGTAAAATGCTGAAAACATAGGCTTTCAAGCAAAGTGGAAACTAGAGCTGCAATTATTGTGCTGCCAAATAATGTCGCGTCATTGCCATCATAGTGAAGTCTATATTTACAGTGACATAAGGAGTAAAGGAATGAATAACACAGGAGTAATAGAGCGGTTATCATTGTAAAAATTTCGCTTTTATTTTAAAAGTTCTTCTCGATCGACTTAACATCTGCCTTCATTTTATTCTTGTTGCAAATTGCTGCTTTGCTAAGCCAAACAAGGATGCACAACCCTTCCAGCATTCTGTCACAGTATTCTTTTACACCTTTTGTCGCTTAAACATCACCCATTCATAGAATTATTGTGCTAGTTTTCCGTAATCCGGAATAACCTGCGCCACAGTGTTCTCAATTTATCAACAGTGACCATTCCACCCTTTATGAATCGGAGTTTGCTTTGTTAACCTGGGACTAGGTTCGTTTTAATGGGTGCAGTTACTTGGCTTAATTTTCTCTTTCAAATAGAAGGGCTGAATTCATTAGATCGAGAAACTTTGCTGGAAGGAGAAAACATAGCTGGGCAGGGTAACTCGATGCCTGTAAACAATTAGCCACAAGTGGTCCTATTTTTTTTTTTTAAGCGGCCCGTTTTTCAGAACTAATATGCGGATCCTAGGATCCTAGCAATTCTTGTATTCGTTTCGTTTCCTCACGTGTGTCATCAACGGGAGGCTCCAAACTTTTGTGTGTACCCTCGGCTGCTGCTTCGGGATCTTTCCTTCATCGTGAGTGTCGTTGAATGCTGGTGGTCGAGTCGATTATCCTTAGAAACCTGAGATAGCTGACCTAGAGCTTTTCCACTTGGATTGCAAAGAGCGACTTTTCCTGGACAAGTTTTCCTGGTGGCGATTTCCCGGACCTCGGAAGGTTTACCAAGCCCGGAGCAGGGTCGAACCGCGAATGTGCTCATCATGTTCGGCCTCACTATCAGCGCGCTATTCGTTCCCTCTAATGTTCCTATTATTTGAACTTGAAAGTATAGGTAAATGGTGTTTTCGCTAAAAATTGGTTATCTACCCCGTAATTCTTTGATTATTTGGTGATTTAACGCTTAACGATAATGCCCGATGACGCCAATTAAGATCAGTGCTGTTTTTTAAAACAATAAACGATAAATTTCCGAACGCCAAAAGAAATAAAGGGCTTACAACTTAATAGAAATTTAGAAGAGGACTTGTATTTCCGTTATAGATGTATACGTGTCTCTATTTCCTATATTATACTGCGGTTCACTTTCCCATCACATTTAAAGCTCTGAAGCTCTAAAGCTTTCGGCGTTGATTTATCACTGAGGGATGCACCGTGCACTCGACCTCATTAAGTATCCTTGGAGGTAATTGAATGCATATCTGGCCTTTTCAGTGGCTCGCGGTGGCCTACCGATGTATGCTGCTATCTCCCCAGGCAAGTCTGATACCAATTTGCCGACCACGGAAGGATGGAGGGTTTGGTGAGCCATGGGAGCGGGAATCGGGTCCACGTGTGTCACAGGGCGCCTCCAACCACTACGCCACACGTAGCCTTCACTTTACTGTCTATTTTACATGTTGGAGGTATTTTGCGACTCATGTCGAATGTAGTTTAGTATTCCTAATATCTGCCAGTGCCATATCTAACTTTTACACATAGTAAAGATTTGAAGTGCAAAATAGCAAATGTTTGGATAGCAATTGAACTTTATATGAGCCGTACATAACATACCACACGATTTTTTTTTATGTCTCCCGATAGAAAACGGTAACTAGAGAGGACACTAAATTTTTGATATTTTGTAGGGCAGATTTTGCTCTCTCACTTTAAATTTTAAAAGTTCAAGAATAATCCAGTTTTGCCTTAACAAGACAAGATAGTTTTTTGAATGCTATGGGTTATTCCTTATTAGATTACGCCGATGACCCAGCTTTTCCACGGGAGCTGTAGCAGCTTATACAGGAATGGAAACTAGGTGTGGATGTGTGTGTGGGTGTGTGTGTGTCGACGAATTCCTCGTTCGGTTTGAAGGCAAAGTCGCCTTTCTCCACTGTATTCTACATCATAGTAAAAGGTACGAAAACCATTCTAATTGTGCTCGAAAGGTGGCCAACACCTAAGGAATTTTCTTGTATATGGGTAGTGATCTCTTCATAACAGAAGATATGGCTCGTTACTTAATAAAGAAGCTCACACACAATTTGTTACATGAAGATAGGCATCTTTCTACTAATAACTGGTAAACAAGTCTTCCGTGACTGAGGACTTACAGCACAGAAGGACCAATCTTACCGAGAGCTGCATAAAAAGTCAGCAAACGCATTCCCATTGAAGTAACGCACCAGGAGCTAAATAGGAAAAGTGGATAGCACAACAGAGTCAGAGTGGTATATTGGAGTTTGAAGCAAGTAATAAGATATAAATTATTATAATTACCACACTTCATGACAGAACTTTATTGCAGGCTACCGAAAAGTAGGCCCTGGCGAAGCAGCTCTTAAATAGAAACACAGATATAGTAAGTACGTGCGGACAACTTTGTCGAATGACTAAAAGATGGACGTTTTCCCGCGTTATTTCAGAAACGTTAGCTCTTCCACGTGGTTGGCTTCCCATTTTCCACAAAAAGCGATACCAGTAGACCGAGAACATGAGGATGATGTTACAAGATGATATCAAGGCAAATTCGATTGCAGGCATGCAAATGATACCAAGAAGGTTAGATCGGGATGTAACCGTTGTAGGAAATATTGTGAAGAAAGCTTCAGTACTCATTACATTACACAACGTGTACAGCTTTCTTGCTTGTTGTAAGCTTGAGGGAAAGTTGGAAAATTTTGTATTCATGAAAGGATTGCAAGTCTTGTGTAAAACTGGTTAATTGTTGGTTAGAATTAGAAGTTTTTATGTGAACACTATTTATTCCATGTAGGAGTTGTAGACCGTATCTATGTATGTGTTATAAACTCTCGGTTGTAAAATAATTCAAATTAAAAGCCGCGGTTTAAAACAGCATATATCTAAAAAAAAGTTGGCAGTAATAAGATTTGATAGCTAGTTCGAGAAACAAATTATGTTGAACCCGACTGATCAGTGCGTGCCCTTTGAATAGGGAGCCATTCTAAGAAGTCTTGTCAATAATTAACCAACTTATCACAAGAAGAAGTTTCCTTTAAGTGTCGAATTCCAGCGTTCAAGTAGAGACATTTGTGCATTTCTTCACTAGACACGTTCTTCACCGTGGATGCTGGTTTGAGCACCAATTAACGTTTCTAGCAGCAAAGCAGCGTTGGTCTCTACGTGACATACTTAGTGGAAACCTCATAGAAAGCGGCTCTGAGGAAGGCGAAATCCGCCGAAACGTCAGCTTATTCGTGAATAAAGAATAATAACACCTCGCGTTTGCTCAACAAAAATACGAAGTGTTATGTGTTAGTTGCCAAGAATTTTAAATTGAGAGGAAGTACTACGAACTCATCGGACAGTGTAATATTTCCACTTATCTCTTTAATATACCTTGTGAGAAACCTATAAGGAAGATTCCGTATATCATTAAGAATCGTCGAATATCTGTCGCGATAATGGTGTAGACCATTAGAACAAAGGGTCCAACGAACTTTACAGCCCTGCAAAGATCGCAGTACATGCCACGAGTGGTGGTAGGAAGTTGTTTGTGAAAGTACAACTAAGAGAAACGTTTCTGCAACATTTCCAAAAAAAAAGTATAAAGTTGGACCTTCGCTTACCGGCAGTAGTATAGGTAATGAACAGACGTGAATAAAATAACCAGAGTGGCCAGAAGATTGTCGACAACTAGAAGTTCTGGACTTAAACTGCAAGCGGCTCTAATGGGAATCATGCACAGAATGAATAGAATTGAACACTTGTAGGCAATTTTAGCAGGGAATTCTTTCTAAAGTAATTAAAAAATACGAAAAATTCGGAAACAACACCTGGAAATAACTGAATGAAGTACTGACTAAAAATTTAAGAAAAGAAGATGACTTACATGAATCGCCCACCACTTTCCTCGTCCTATTCGTTTTACATCTTTGATTTCAAAAAACAACTGAATAATCACACAAATGAGAACCACTGATTCAGATGCCAAGCGGATCTAAAACTAGCTCATGAGATCTTTTAGGAATCTAAGGGAAGGTAATTTGCTGATCAGGAAAGCATAGCAAGCAGCACTTAAATGTCATCGGAATCAAGTTCTTTAAAAATGTGATAGTAAAGAGTAACAATCATATGTTAGAAAAATAAGCCACAATGAACACAAGTGGTTTGGAGTCATACGAGAGAAAGGAATATGTTATAGCCTGCACTTTTGTCAGCAGTTAAGGAGCAATTGGTTGAATACGGAGTGATGCAGATGTTATCACATGCACAAACGACACTATCATGACAATCCGCTCTGGAAAGAAGGTATTCTTCCGAACACTAGCATTCTGGTGTCGAACTCCATAACACCTACTTATATGCGCACATTCACATATATTTGTAAACATGTAAAAAAGTTATATGTGTATACATTTGTGAGGACTAAAAAAACTTTTGGCATAAACCCGAAGAAGACACTATGCGTTCGACTTGATTAAGCATCGTTAAAAGTGATTTAATGTGATATTTGCCTTCCCCAATGACTTGCGGTGGCTTGCCGATGTATCAAGTCAGTGTTCTTACTCTCCTAGGCAACTCTTCTACCAATCCCAGAGATCAAGGGCTCAGCGAGTCTGCGGTGCGGCATTGAACAAGCTATCGATCAGGCTTGTATTGTAGGGTACCGCTAACCTATGTGCTACTTCACGAGACTTTTCTAAAGACGGGAATGGTTTCGCGGGTTTGGCCAGGTGTCTTAGAAGAAAATCTTGCATCTGCAACACAGAGAAGATTAACTGCCACGACCGACTTTCTGTTAACTTCGGCATTGATCAAGTAATTTTCTTCGTATTTTTGTTGAGCAAACGCGAGGTGCTATTATTCTTTGTTCACGATTTTCGGCGGATTTCGCCCTCCTCAGAGCCTGAAAAGGTCATATTGATAGCAATCTACTCGGCCAGACGCCTCCATAACCAAACAAAGAAACACCAAACCAAGATTTCAATCACTTTGAACGCAGCTTTGCACACTCACCTCTTTCTATGAGGTTTCCACTAAGTATGTCACGTAGAGACCAACCGCACAGAAATCACGTGAAAGTATAATGTGCCCCTCACATCAGAAAAGCAGTTTTATATACTGCCCTATATCACGCGTGATAATGAGGCATTCTTCCCTGCGGTTCATTTTCGGATTTCTGGAATTAATCCAGATTGCCTCGAGAGTTCTTCGCGCCTGTGCTCTTGATTCACGTGCTAGGATCGTGACACATACTTCGAAGTCGTCCCCGTTATGTCTCTGGGTCCTATGCGTGCCTAGCGGGGTATTTGGTCTATTTTTGCCGGCTAGGTGTTCTTTCATGCGGACACAGAGGGGTCTACCCGTTTCGCCAATGTATTCGTCACCACACGTCTTACAGGAAATCAGATAAGTAGAATAGAATGATAGAATAGATAGAATAGAATAGAATGCCTCATTATCACGCGTGATATAGGGCAGTATATAAAACTGCTTTTCTGATGTGAGGGGCAAATTATACTTCCATGTGATTTCTGTGCGGTTGGTCTCTACGTGACATACTTAGTGGAAACCTCATAGGAAGCGGTGAGTGTGCAAAGCTGTGTTCAAAGTGATTGAAATNAGAATGCCTCATTATCACGCGTGATATAGGGCAGTATATAAAACTGCTTTTCTGATGTGAGGGGCAAATTATACTTCCATGTGATTTCTGTGCGGTTGGTCTCTACGTGACATACTTAGTGGAAACCTCATAGGAAGCGGTGAGTGTGCAAAGCTGTGTTCAAAGTGATTGAAATCTTGGTTTAGATATTTGCAAAACTCTGGACCGCAGGTGTCTATGGTGGGGAACGAAGGCGCTATTATCCTTTCCGGGGAGTAACGCGTTCACCACCACACCATGCGGGTCCTTTGTTTCGCACGTCTCTCAGCTATTTCTATCGATCTTTTTGCCACAGCAATCACCCGTCAGCGGGGTTGATCTGGGGAGCGCAAATCGGCATAGAACCCAGTTAAGCTATGGCTGTAGTTGAAATCACAATGTTTAACGTTTTTGTTTTCTGCCTTCTATAATTTTCATGGCAGGTTACTAAGCGAAATACAACCACAATGTTGCTGAGATATTTGCAAAACTCTGGACCGCAGGTGTCTATGCTGGGGAACGAACGCGCTATTATCCTTTCCGGGGAGTAACGCGTTCACCACCACACCATGCGGGTCCTTTGTTTCGCACGTCTCTCTGTATCTCAGCAACATTGTGGTTGTATTTCGCTTAGTAACCTGCCATGAAAATTATAGAAGGCAGAAAACAAAAACGTTAAACATCTTGGTTTAGAGTTTCTTTGCTTGGTTATGGAGGCGTCTGGCCGAGTAGATTGCTATCAGCTTGACCTTTCCAGGCTCTGAGGAAGGCGAAATCCGCCGAAACGTCAGCTTAATCGATCGTGAACAAAGAATAATAACACCTCGCGTTTGCTCAACAAAAGTACGACAGAGAAGGTTTTTAGAACTTCATATGAAAGCGGCAATTAAGTTGTTCAGGAGAGCAAAGCGCATTTTTGGACATTTGCTCACTGGAAACTATTTAACACTGCTGCTTCACGGCTTCGTAAGGTTTCATGGAAAATTTCGTCCTTCTTTGTATCAGTGCATTTGACAATCAAAATTCATAACAAACCCATCCATGCCACACAGAGAGATTTGCATCCCAGTAGTTTCGTAGGTGGCACTGCGCCATGGAAACTTCTGTAAATGAAGCTCTTCAGTATTTTTTCGTTATTCCAACCATTTCCGTATATTTATTGGTCTTCACCATAGTACTCCATCCCTCGCGCTGTTGGAATTTCTGGTGCACGACCTGGAGTGTAGGATCCATCAATCGGCTTTCCTTCAAATGTTATCCATCCACCAGTAATCTGCTGAAAAAGGGTATGCTATTGAGATGAGAATACATTTCTGCTATGTTGCGTTTTCCCACCGCAGTTGACATGGCAATTGGGCGCAGGACGAATGATAGAACGAGGAACATGTAGTACAGTGTGAATGCCATCAGTGAACGCAGCATTCTGGAGATACTCAGCTCGTATGATAGCTTTCGTAGTCTGTATCTTAACGGTTAAACTTCTTTGGTAGAAAATGGATAATCTGACCTTCTTTTGCCGAATGCTTGCCATTTCGCTTCTAGAACTGTCTCAAGAAGTCCATCGAGAAGATCCAGGTGCTCTTTCGTTTCCTGAAAAAAAATGTTTGTCATTTCAGTTTTAGTACAAACCAAACTGAATTATGTCACCTATTTACAATAAATTTAGCAATTTCTACTACGTTTTAGCCGTTTTTTGTGTGAACGGAAGTCATTTCTGGAACGTTTTGTCGGCAATACTGCCTTCTTTTTCAAAAAGTACCAAAGAAGTCCCTACAGAGTTTCCGTAACTAAAGAGATGAAGCATTGAATTTAGATAAAAAAACCAAGTTAGCGAAGGAATGTTTCTCGTGAAGGAAATTTTATAAAAGTTTCCAATGTTAACCCTTCTTGCTCAGCAATCGCGAGGTTTTTAAACAGCATATATTTACTTCCATAAAAAACACAATACAATACAGCGCTAGCTGACGTTTCGGCAGTATCGCCTTCTTCAGAGCCTGGAACAAGAAAACGACACATTCATATTCCAATGCCGAGGTTAAGAGAAAGTCGATCCTGGGAACTGTTAACCCTTCTATTTTCTACTTACTGTATTTTTTCACAAAAGGGTATGATGTGAAATGGAACCATAACGATGCTGAGATATTCGGAAAATTTTGACCCCGGGAAACTGCACCACGGAAGCCCTCACTCTGCGTTTCTCTCGGCTAGTTTTTCGCGAACCCGCAGAAAGGGTAATCGTGGTACGATCTGGCTCGGGGCCCACGTTTTGCAAATATCTCAGCATCATTATGGCTAAAAGTTTACAATTCTACGACCATAGAAACAAAACATGACGTTGAAATATCGACAAACACTTCAATAATGTAAAGAATGACGAGGAGTTTAACATTAGACGTAGAATAGCATGGCCTTATACGAGTTACTTTTCCAGATAGTCAACTAAATTGCTGACATACAGTCTAGTTCTATAGATGCCTGATAATGCTTGAAGAAGTCGTCGACAGCAAAAATAGTCTGGAGCTTGAACCAGACCACTAGCGATCCCTCGCTTACATTTGGTGAAATTGATATAAGACGTAGAACAACACGGGTGTGACAATATAGTTAGCATAAACTATGACCGACGAGAATAGCTGCTTTAAAATATTGATCGGAATGATTCCCCAAAAATCTTTTGCTCTGTTAGGGTGAATACTGAATTGCACTCGGGGAATACTGCTAACTACTTCATGACGGACTACCAGACAACAACTTTGTCGTCGGTCTCCTATCTTCACTGGTAAATAATTTAGAATTAACTAGTTTTTGAAGAATATGGCGTGTATTTGGAAGTTTGGTTTTCATTAATACTTTAGCCCTTTTCCACCGAATAATTAAAGTATTTTCATATAAAACACGTCCAGGTTCTGAGGAAGGCGAAATCGCCGAAACGTCAGCCATCGACCAGCAACACCAACAGCAACGACAACAACGATGACAACGATAACGAAGACCTATACCAACCTTGCGTCAGCTTAAGAAGATCAGTTTATAATATCATATAAATAAAAATATCAACTATCTATGCCGAGGTTTATAGAAAGTCGGTCTTTTGAATTACTTATTCAATTAAAGCAACGAACGATATTTTTGCAGTGTGTATGAAAAACAATGAAACCCCAATTGATACATTTGCATGCCTCTGCCGAGCAGAAGCAGCCAGTTCAAAGATTAATAAAGAAAGCATCATTAAATGTAGATTTTCGATATCACTGCTGCTGTTCGAAAAGTTCAGAATTGCTGCATGTGACAGCAATTCAATCTGCACTCAATTCACTTTTGACAGTGATAAAGATGGGTGGGATTAGCAACGGGTTTACTCATGATTCATATCTAAATTGTCACAACGTCTACAAAGCATCAGCACAGTCTCCTCAAACATCGATCTTCAAGGTTTCTTGAAGACGCCGGTCGCATCAAATTCTGAGTGACTGCTTGCCATTCGTGGAGGGAAAACACCGCTACGAAATATAAGTGGCCCTAGAGGCTTTGTTGTGCACTTATTTGTTATCAATAAGAGAGGTCACCTCGCTTGGTCATTCCTCGCCTCCAATTTCAGCGCAAAAGGAAAGTCAGTGTCATCGACTGCTACTCACCAACTTGTACAGCTGATGAGGATGAGACGGACAAGTTTAACAACGAGTTGGGAAAAGTGTTCCACAATGAGAAGTTTTCTATAAATTCGTTGTTGGAGACTACAGTGTTAGCTTAGGAAGGGTCAACGAAAACTAGTACAGGATAGGAAAAGTTGGAAGAGTAGCTCGAAATAAGAATGGAAACCATCTTGATACACTCCTGTTCACAGCGCGTGCCTTTTATGGAAATTCGTTTTTCAGGAAGAGAGCTAATTTCGGCTTGATATGGAAGTTTCCTGACGATATAAATCGTGCAGAAATCAACCACATTCTCATGAAGCGAGCGCGACCTTTACATCATCAGTGGAATAGCACAAAAATTGAGAAGAGAACTTGTTATGTTCCAAAAGTCAGCGTTGAAAAAAGGCCTAGGCTAAAAATTTATTCACTTTGGTAGCGTCGAGTACACCATAATTTCATCACCACATGTGACTTGGATGGTTTGCTAACTCAACGAAGTGTTTCTGGGTGGGCGAATAACAGTGTACAAGTATGGCAATAGTGTTCTAGTAACTTTCTCAGCAAAAGCAATCTCTGTGATGTTGCACTTGTAAAATTCAGAAAGGAAATCACCGTGGAACCCATGGTGACAACCTCGTTCAAAAAGTGCTTTTTATAAACTATGGTGTGTAAAGAGTAGATTTTTCCATACCATAGATGGTACAATATCCACAGTGCTGGAGCTATTAATTTAATTCAACGAACTACGCAGCAAAAGTAACAGGTAGACGAAGAAAGTGCATTGAAACCAATGCATACAGTCGCGTGTTAGCTAGAAACTTGCTTTCCTATAGCCAAATAAAATTCAGATAAACGATGACAAATGTAGGTAGATTGAAAAATAAGTATAGCAGAAATAATTCATACACGTACCCCGTATACTACTAGTGACAATGCACTTGCTTCGTTCAGTTCTCCTGTCACCTCGTTTATTGTGTCGATTTTTGAAAGCGGATAAGCAGTTGAGGCAGCTCCTCCATATGCCCATACGGAACCACCTTCCAGTTCCAAGATCTCCATGAACATCTGCAACTATTCACTACTGCGCCGCAGCTCAAAGTGATTCGTCGGTAACGGAAAAAATATGTGGTTAGAGAATCATCTTCACTGCTCAGTCTTCACTAGAAATACCTGTATTTAAAGCAGATATTATTCTTTTCTACGTTCAGTTCGAAATGTGCTCTTAAAAAAGTCATGTATATGCGATTCACCTGCTTCTTCGCTAGTTTTGCAGCCAGCGTTAAAGGAGTAAGATTCTGTTTATTTGCAATATTGATTCGAGCTCCAGACTCCATCGCAAGTCGGAACATGTCCTGAATAGTGTATACATATCAACAATGTGGTATTTCTCAAAAATTTTTACTCAATTTTCTTGACATTTTTTAAGTTAAGTGACTAAGGTGCAGATTCTCCCAAAAACATGAACAACAGGTTTGACAACTTCGATCGGTCATTTCACTTCTTGTCATTATGTGACCGAACTGTACACCACCATCTGCCTGGGAATGTGGAATTCGAGCATTCCCTTTCGGGAACGAAAATAAGCCTTTTTCAATGGATTGTCGAGCAAGTGACAAATTTTAAGAAGTGACTGTCTCGTGTTAGGATCTAGCAAGCAATGAAGAATGTACAAGTTAGCAACCATTGTACAATGGCAACACTCGAATAATGACACGAAAGACGAACCATGTTTTCGTGTATTACGCACATATGAAGAACAGTATTGCCATTAGTATCTTGAGCATTTGGGTTAGCCTTGAAAGCGATAAGAAGCCGATAACAATCTGGATGGTTCATGCAGGCGGCGAAGGACAGTGGATATTCACCAAAATACATATGACTAAAAACATGAAGTCAATGTGCTTTTAAAAACAATCGAAGCCATTAATACAATGCCTACCCAGTATAATTAGTCTTCAGCGACAATTCAACGTATTCGTGTTCAAGTGAATCTGTGCGACCCGCTTTCTGGTCTTCAGCACAGAAGAAAGCACCATAACATCGGATGTTCACGTCAGCACCCCGCTTGAGCAGTACGTAGACCATATGGCAATCCTGATTGATGACGGCTTGATGGAGAGGTGAAAGCCCTTTGAGAAGGAACTTATGCTCATACACTCCGCATAGATAATTACGAGCATTCACAGTATAAACAAGACAGTCAAAAGGTGGCTAACCATAGAAGTCCTCCGATATATTGATATCGTTTACAAGTTTTGGAAATGTTTCAATTATTTTCATTGCTAATTTGTTGTGGATGTCAGTTCCTTGAAGCAGGCATATACCTATTATCGTTTCCCCCATAGCACCTGAAATGCTTGAATTATTTATCGCGAATTTCTTGTACTTAGACATCCAATAACAAACGGCGTCTTAACAAAAACCTCTTTCTTCCAATTTCCAAGCGATTTCTCTGTACTTTGATTCACCCCTTCCTCCTTTTCCTCCACCATCGAGCAGCTTCAAAGCTTTAAAATATATGCAGTATGTGTTAGATATATACCTCTCATAATTGCAGAAATACAAGAGTTCCTCAGAGGAATGAGCACATCTCGAAATGAGCTACTTTCTTGAAGTGGCCAAGATTCAATAACGATGACACGTATGTTAGTGCCTACACTTTAAAAAAAAATGAAAATTTTGCCATTCATTTAGGAAATAGAAACATTTGCAAAAGAGCCAAGGTTTTTTCTTCACTGAAGACTTTTGTTCTCACCTTTTTTCAGGTCTCCAACGTTTTCTCCCTCTTGCTTGAACTCATCCAGTACGTTTGGACCACTCTTTCCTTTCCCTTTCTTCCTAGAGAATGCACTTAGTCGGTCATTTCTCTCCTATAACTATTCGGTATAATGTACACTAATATAGGAGATAACTACAGTTTAGTATTCATTTTGTTTTTTATTCCTATTCATCAATTGATTTATGATGTGACATATGATGCTGACACACACACACACACACACACACACACACAGACACACACGCACAACGATTTTGAAAATGACANTCTCTCCTATAACTATTCGGTATAATGTACACTAATATAGGAGATAACTACAGTTTAGTATTCATTTTGTTTTTTATTCCTATTCATCAATTGATTTATGATGTGACATATGATGCTGACACACACACACACACACACACACACACACACACACACACACACACACACACACACACACACAGACACACACGCACAACGATTTTGAAAATGACATTAAGTGCCAAAGTGGCAGTTTTAGTATAAAAGGAGGTCTGATTTGGCATGTTACATGCTCTTATCTGCATCGGTAAACTAGTCGAAGGAATCGCTGCGTCGAAGAGAGCTAGTAACGAAGCAGCAAACCTCTCTTCGATCTGCAAGATCTGACTGCAGGCTGAAGATGAAATGGAAATGAAATACCACGAATTTCAGAGAGAACCACGCTCAAATAGGTGGTCATCATGCTATTTTAAATAGAAGTATTCCATCGCTCCATGATAACGGTGTTGCTATCTTCATTGACCCAACTATTGTCTGTCTTGTCGACTTACGTGAAATTATGTCTTCGCTCTTTCACATTCCATGCAAAAATAAAAGGATAAAGCTCTCGGAGATGATCAATCCCTGATGGATGCTTTATGCATTCGACTTCACTAACCATCGTTGTGGTTGATTGAATGCATGCGTGGTCTTTACAATGACCCGCGGTGGTCTACCGATGTATCGAGCCAGTGATGCCCTCCCATCCAAGTTCGATACCAATTTGCCGACATCGGAGGGATGAAAGACTTGGTGAAACTGGCGATCCCATGAGTAACGCAGGGCACCTCCAACCACTGCGCTACACACGCCTACCATTGCACGCATCGAAGGGAAGTCACTATTATCATACGCTGCCAAGAAGCGGATAAATAGGAATTCAATACGTTTTATGAGGATCGCGAAAAAGATGTGTTCGGCTGGGATCTCTTCTCCAACAATGTGGGCACCTTCACTGAAATAAGAGGCATCGCACAAAAGCACGAGGAGGGAAATCGAGAAACTCAGAGAATGCAGTTAAACTGAGGATCGCTGTATAGTGTGGTTTTTTAGGTTTTACATTTACCATAGTGGGAGAAGGACAGCGCAGTGCTTAGTGATGTCATCAATCAGGAAGCAGAGGCGCTGGTTCGATTCCCTCCCCAATGCTGCCCTCCAGTCGATATGAAGTCTGGCTCTCTCCAAGATTGTAAAAAGAACTGACTCGACCAGCATTCTATGACGTTCACAAGAAGACGAAATCCACAACCAGCACGCAAAACAACAAGCGCAATGTGCGAAGACCATTGTGAAGGACGAATGCGAATATAACGAATGGAATGCAAGAAGTTCTGAAATCTGTACAGCAGATGTGATGACGGATTACGTAGTAACAATATGGTTTCCCATGGTACATTTTCTTCAGAAAGAAAGGCTCTTACCGTTGAAAATCCTAAAAGTTCCAGTTCATCTAGATAACGATTTCATTCTTGCCAACAGATTTAAAACTATTGGGCGATGGCGTCTCTCCAACTTTGCAGATTGGTCGTAAGCAAAATATGGTAAACAAATCTGTCATTGCACATAGAGAAGAAGCAAGCTATACATGACGAATTCATTCTCAGTGATATTTTGTTCAATACGACTCGAAGAAGGACCCCTCTCGGGAGGCTAGGATATACTGTTACCAGGTAACAGAGCTTGTAATAAAGTTTTTTTTTTAAATCGCAGGCCACCTATGAGCATTTATCAAGCAGGAACGAGGAGCATTAGGGTGGAAAAGAAGGTTATTAATAAATCTTGCTATAACACTGTTAAGCTTTTAGTCATGAACACTATTCAGAAAACAGCAAACGTATATGAGGTCAAATCTGTAAATCGGCTAGCTGTTCAGTAGTAGAGTAATTTCCGCAGCCCAAATTTCTAACCAGACTTGTCTGGACACATCGTTCGAAAATGTGGTCACAAGCCCATAGCATTTCCAAAAGTTTTTCTTAAATTCTTAGCAAAATAATCGTCAAATAAAATCTCGTCTACCTGGGGGATTTATCATAGGGTCGTGGAAATCTTCTAACTCTAACAATAGCAAAATTAGATTGCGTGTTAGCTCTTCGTGCTGAGTGCACAGAACATAGGAACTACTGCTCAGAGCGATAAGATGACGTGAAGACATTCCTTTTGCTAGCTTGAGAAACTCGATAACTTATGGGATTATAATTGACTCAGATCAGCCAGGTGACAAAGGCATTGGCCTAGTAACCCAATTGCCAAATGCAAACCTTGTTTCGAATTTTGACGAGCTCGGTTACAGTAACTAGCTTGCCCTTTCCTTGATTGTACATGGAGTCTCGCACTTTCGTTTCCATGTAGCCATCGATCAACGAGTAGTCTCCACTGCTTCGAGCATATCGAAAATAATTTCGTTATCAGCGGATAATAATATAAACCTGAAAATCCTTATTATTCATTGTAAACGCTTTCTGATTTTGAACCTACCTATTCTCGTTACAATCTTTGAATGGTATTTGGTAAACCACTTTAGAAAGGGTTAGCTTTGTTATTCAGACAACATTACCTGTTCAATCTAGCATTTTCGACCACAAGGTTTTATGTCAAATAGTTTACTCAAGTTCGTTTGGATAACAAAGGTTGAAAAGGGTATACAAATGTTTTATTCATAGAATACTTGATGTGTATAAAAAACGATATTGCACACTGTTTTGTCTACATGAGATGGAGCAATCAAGACAGACTCTGACATTGCAATACTGAAAACGAATACTGAAAGGAAGAAACGGTGCTGGAAGAACAGTAATTACCGCCTGATAATCTTGTTTTGAGCAGAGAGAGAAAACATCGTTGCGACTACTTAATTAGCAGACGTATAGCATTTCAGTTACTTCAGGAATCTCGAAAAACTCACCTGAACCAAGGTAATAGCTCTCCACCACCATGCATGTCGACCAGCTTGTAGAGCTTCATATCTTCTCGTAGCCGCCCCATGCTAAGCGCATTTTCTCTTTCTGTTGACTGCGACGACCCCATGGTTGATAGCTTTCCTATCGATAAATGCATGCAATGTGGGAAAAAGTAAAAGCTTTGACAAGTAACATCCGAAGAAAAGCAAAAAAATTTTTTCCAAGTAATTCTTCGTGTTCTTGTTCAGCAAACTCGAGGTGTTATTTCATTCTTTATTCACCAACAAGCTGATGCTTCGGCAGATTTCGCCTTCCTCAGAGCCTGGGAAGGTTAAGTTGACAGCAATCTATTCGGTGAAACACCTCTATAACCAAACAGAGAAAACGCTAAGCCAAGATTTCAATCACATCGAACACAGAGTTTTTGCACACTCACCGCTTTCTATGAGGCTTCCACTGGGTATGTCGCGCGGAGACCAACACGCAGAATTCACATGGAAGCGTAACGTGCCATCCCAACTGGATAACAGGCTTATACACTGCCCAATATCATACGTGATAATAAGGCATTCTTCTTTGGGCTTCATTTCCGGATTTCTGGAATTAATCCAGAACGCCTCGAGAGTTTTGCGCGCTTGCGTTCTCGATTCTTGTGCAAGGATCGTAACCCCAACTTGAAAATCTTCTCCGTTATGTCTCTGGGTCTTATGCGTGCCTAGTGAAGTATTTGGTTTATGTTTACCGACTAGGTGTCCTTTTATGCGGGCACAGAGTGGTCTACCCGTTTTGCCTATGTATTCGTCTCCGCACGCCTTACAGGAGATCGAGTGAACGGTATCCGAACTCATGCAATCACCGTCTCTACCATTAAGGCAAATTATGCAATTTTGCGTTGCACATAGACGGCCATATAGGCGGCCACGAACTAGCTGGCGCCTAAGGGCACTCGGTGGCATTTCAACTACGTTTACCGAATTCTCTAGACCCGCCGTTCTTACGCGGCAACTTATAGATGCATACCTTTTTTATCGCTAGAGTTGTCGTGTGGGGACCTAGGATTTTCCCTACACCGCCGCCGAGCTACAGTTTCGCTGCTACTAGAAATAGCTATTTGCCGTGCCAAGTTCCGGGACTCCTCTAACTGCTCTCTTCCCGTGTACACGTTGGTTGCTGTTCGAAACATGTTTCTTGCAAGCGCCCTTTTCGTGTGAGAGAAATGAGAAGAGAGGTAATATACCAAGATGTTTTTACTATGATTTTGATTTACTATGATATGTTTTTACTATGATTACGAAAATGATTTTGCTACTTGGCTTTCGGTACCACTTCGTAATGTAGCCATTTTCTGACAGGTTAATTTAGTCGTTCAGGAATGGAAGCCAGTTCTCTTTCGGTTTCTCTCGGCAGAACTTGACATAATATTTAACCAGTTGTTGAAACACATTCCAGCCCATCTTACGAGCACCCAAATTTTTCTGGGTCGTCCACGTACTGCACAGCCCAGCAGCGCGTACGTGATGGAGTCCTACGACGTTACTGCCCTTTATACAAACGTGTCGAATGATTCCGCAATGCAAGCCATATTCGAACTCCTTATACAACACGAAGGAGAAATAAACATGTATGGCTACAAGATAGAGCACTTGATGGCAATCTTAAAAGAACGCTTGAGCTGCTCAGTCTTCAGATGGTCCGGAAAGTACTACGCTCAAATAAGAGGGTTGGCAATGGGACAACGACTGGCTCCAATGCTTGCCATTGCATTTATGTCTAAAGTGGAAGCACCGGTTACTGATCTGGCGCCGCTACTCTACTGTAGGTATGTAGACGACTGCTTTGTCCTTTGCTCAACACAAGAGGAAATGGACAAATGCTTCGAATTGTTAAACGCACAGTCAGAGTATATCAAGTTCACCCGAGACAAACCGAAAGAAAAATGGCTTCTATTCCTGAACGTCCAAATTCACCTGTCAGAAAATGACTACATTACGAAGTGGTGCCTAAAGCCAAGTAATAAAGACATCTTGGTACATTACCTCTCCTCTCACTCCTCTCACACGAGAAGGACGCTTGTAAGAAACATGTTTCGAACAGCAACCAGCGTGTACAAGAGAAGAGAGCAGAGAGAGGAGTCCCGGAACTAGGCGCGGTAAATAGCCATTTCTAATGGCTACGAAACTGTAGCTCGGCAGAGGTGTATGAAAAATCCTATGCCCCCAAAGTAAAAAACCCTAACCCTAATAAATAACCCTAGCGATGAAAAGGTCCCATTTACCCTACCCTTTATCTCAAATAATGTATGTACAACTATAAAACGCTGCTCAAGAAAGGTGGGTCTAGAGAATTCAGTAAACGTAGTTGAAATGCCACCGAGTGCCCTTGGACGCCAGCTAGCTCGTAGTCGCCTATATAACCGTCTATGTGAGACGCAAAATTGCATAATCTGCCCTAATGGTAGAGACGGTGATTGCATGAGTTCTGGTATAGTTTATCTGATCTCCTGTAAGACGTGCGGAGACGAATACATTGGCAAAACGGGTAGACCACTCTGTGCCCGCATAAAAGGACACCTAGTCGGCAAACACAACCTAAATTCTCCGCTAGGCACGCATATGACCCAGAGACATAACGGGGAGGACTTTGAAGTACGTGTCACGATCCTCGCGCAGGAATTAAGAACACGCGGGCAAAACTCTCGAGGCGTTCTGGATTAATTCCAGAAATCCAAAAATGAACCACAGGGAAGAATGCCTCATTATCACGTGTGATATTGGGAAGTGTATAAGCCTGTTATTCACATGGGATGGCACATTACGCTTCCATGTGAAATCTGTGCGGTTGGTGTCCACGCGACATATTCAGTGGAAGACTCATAGAAAGCGGTGAGTGTGCAAAGAAACTATTCTGTGTTTAATGTGGTTGAAATCTTGGCTTAGCGTTTTCTCTGTTTGGTTACGGAGCTGTTTGACCGAATGCATTGCTGTTAACCTGACTTTTCAGGCTCCGAGGAAGGCGAAATCCGCCGAAATGTCGCCCTACTCGTGAATAAAGAATAAAATAACACCTCGCGTTTGTTCACAAGAATACGAAAAATTGTTTGGTCAATGCCGAGGTTAATAGAAAGTCGGTCGAAGAAAGTCGACTCATCGCAATACAACATAGAGATATGTTTTTTCAACGTCTATTGTCCGGTATGGACAAATAACAGCGGAATTTTGTAATGAAGTTAAAAGCAAAATCTCAAACGCGGAACAGCTGAGCATGCAAGAAAAATTGTTGAGATCGCAATAGAATTTGAAAGCTACATTTAAGAACATTGTATTGTTTTGAATCTGGCTGGCTCAACGCGTGCACACATAAATCACAGGTACCATAGAAAGCGTTCTTGTTCAGAATCCTTCACTGCAAATCGTTGAATTGCCGTAATTTTCGTGGTAATTCATAGGTATTCCGTACGCCATAATGGCACAGACGAGCTGTTGTCGAAGTTCAGAGCAGCTGATCAGTCGGTGTAAAAAGCATCTATGTTTGAGAACACAACGTCCGAATCGAAACCAGAGCACATATCTTTCTTAGCTGCCACTGCATTCCAGGTCAACAAGAATTGACCGATAACCCACACATTTTGATCAAGACTTTCCCATTGTGCTCAGACAGGTCGAACAGGAGTTGAGAAATGAAGTATGCATATAACCATTTTGTTAGATTGTTAGGCTACAACGAGATTATTCTAAAAGTTTAACTGAGCTAACAATTTGGCGCTTTCACCGTGATTAGAACTGGAATAATCCGAGTCGATAGTCCACGACCGTAAGACCTGAGCAATGTGAATCCTCGTAGTGGCATCGAGTCTAATCTTATGGAGTGCGGAACACCGCTAGCGTCTTCCTATTCGTCTGGATCCTTCCATAGAGTGCGGTTGTTGGTGTACTGTCACTCATTATACGAATATATACATATAAATATGCTAAAAAATAATTTGTGGAATATCCACCCTAACTAAATCAAATGCCGATTTGTGTTCACCAGGTCATTACCGTTGACGGATGATTGTTGACAGCACTGTTAGGATAAAAGGAGCTGGATAAAAGAAAGGCAAAGCAAAGGCACTGGTAGTGCAGTAGGTAACACGTGAACACCCGGAAATGTTAATCGCGCGTTGGAATCTGGCTTGAGGTTCCGACTTTTGCAAATATCTCAGAATCGTAGTGATCGTATTGTACAAATAATTCTTTCTCAGTGGTAGAGGTGTGAAATGATTTTTTCTATATGACAATGAATTATTTTCCCACTCTTTATGCTCTTTTTTACACCCATCGCAGAAAAAACTAGCACATTAGAGAAGGTTTAAATAAGGTGTATAAATGCTGATGTTCAAAAAATGAGAAGTGGCGCAAAATGATACTAAACAGTCACGAAGTCAGCTATCGATTTTCACCGTCATCATTCATACTTATTTCGTGTTTATATAGTAAGAGTAAATTAAAGTGACTTCAATTTAAAAGTGTCCAGTATGCAGTACATATATAAAAGCCATATATAAAAGATAAAGCTGTCAGCGTTGATCAATCCCTGAGGTATACGTCGTGCATTTGACTTCTTTAAGTAGCGTTGGAGGTGATTGAATGCTTATCTGGCCTTTACAAAGGCTCGCGGTGGCCCATTGAGTCAGTGCTGCTATAGAAGCCAGATACCTATTTACCGACTCTGGAGGGATGAAAAGCTTGGTATGCGTTGGGCATGGGGATCGGACCCTTGTGTATTGCAAGGCACCTCCAATCACTACTCCACACGCGCCCTAATACATTACATATATGCAAATATAAGTATATATCCACCCAAAACACTACTCTGGAATAAATGTAGCATTTGTAATTATATTTTTGTCCACGCGTTTTAGCGAGGACCATTTTTCGAGTGATGTAAAATTTTATGTGGTTCAAAGGTAGTAGGCACTTCCGCTATGTATAGTTCAGTTTTAGTGCAAATTGCATCTTTGACAAAACTTACAGACTGGAAATTGAGGTGTCATGGCAAAAATTTTGATAAATTAACTTTTACGAAGTTAAACGCGGTTACAGTGCAGTTAAAACAGCTTGAATAATCCGACGTTGAAGATGAGGAGGGTCGTGGTCGTCCTGTGCTATTAAAAATAACGAACTGAAGGTGTGGCCGAAGCAAATACCACTACCTCGCGAAAACTTATAGAAAAACTCTGTATAAGCATCTCAATTATTTTGAAGCATCTAAGTAAAATTATTAAGACGAAGATATTTGAGAAATGCATGCCGTGCAAAGTGGATGATACTTTTCCACGATATCGCGCCGCCACACGTCCAAGAAGCGACGCTGAATAAGGTTGGTCGAACTGAGCTACGAAATTCTGCCTCAGACATCATCCTTGGCGGACGTCCACTCCTCACCCACTGCTACTTCTTCAATTATCTCTCTACAGCTTCCTACCCAAAAATGCTTTAAAAAACAGTCAGAGAGCTAAACTGCCCTAAAAGACTTCGTAGTCTTAGAACACCAGAGCTTTGCGTAGCCTAAATAAATGAAGTTGCTTTGAATTGTATGGATTCTAATGGTTCATTCATATGTTGATTGAATCCTCCATTCTGAGCTGTTATATTACAGTTTGAAGGTGCATCTCAATTTCTGAACAAACTTTATATATATGTATACATATGCATCTACATATATATTATACATATAAGTGGCGCGTGTGGAGAAGTCGTCGGAGGCGCCCTGCAACATATACGTGGAACCGATCTCAGCGCCCATGATACACCAAGACTTCCATTTTCCCGGAGTCAGAAAATTGGTACCAGACTTGTCTGGGAAGGTAGCAGCACCGGCTTCATACATCGGTAGGTCATCGCGAGTCATTGTAAAGGCCAGATATGCAATCAATCACCTCCAAACGATGATCAATGAACTCTAATGCACGGTGCATCCCTCAAGGATTGATCAACGCCGACAGCTTGGTCTTTTTATCCTTAATGTATATATATATATATATATATATATATATATACATAAACATAAAGGGTATATGTATATGTATGTAAAGGATAAATGAAGGACAAAGCTCTCGGCGGTGATCAATTCCTGACGTATACGTCATGCATTCGACTTCATTGAGCATCGTTAGAAGGTGATTGAATGCTTATTTGCTCTGTAAAGTAAGTTACTCGTAGTGGTCTACCGATGTATCGAGTCAGTGCTGCCATCCTCCCAGACAAGAGTGGTAGCAATTTTGAAGGGTCGGTTTGTTTAGTGGTTGGTGATGCAATCTATTAAGAAGCAACGTCTATCGAGCCTCTCTCGAACGCCCTCTTCATTCACTTAGGAACTGCTTAGCTTAGCTATCTCCAACATTGCACAGACATCGTATGACATTCATATAGAACAATAAATCCTCAAGCAACAACCGAAACAGCACGCGGAATGTTCGAAAATTTTGAGGAGAATGAGTGGGAGGAAAACGAATCAAATTCAAGAGGTGCTGCGATCCGTAGATTAGACGTATGACAGATTGTGGGAAATAAAAAATAAGACTACACGTACATGCAAAAATATATATATGTATATGCGTTTTTAATAGTATACCAATGGTCTGCTATGTTAAAACCACCCGCTGATATCCAGAGCTGGTGAATCGTAGATCTGGACCTTGGGAACGAATGCCGCAACAAAGGAAACTGTTAACGAGAAATTTTGACCTTACAAATGAATTAAGTGTTGTTACTAAAAGCTGATTTTTTTTCATTATAGATGTAAGCGATTATCCCAATTGCTTTTCTTGATAAGGAATCCGATAGGAATAATGCGCAATAAGGTTAGCAATAGCAAAATAAGCTTGTATATAGCTTTGAAGAGCTGTTTCAGGATTCACGAAGATTTTTGACACGACGAGTTACGAAACAGATTTCATGAATGGAAGAAGTAATTTACAACTTTGGATCGAACTCCTGACGGTCGAGTGAAAGGTTTTAAAGGATATAAACTACAGAATCGATTTAGAAGAGAAATGCAATTCAACACGCGCTGATAACATTTATAAGGAAAAATTGGACTCGGGTTGCCAAGGTGCCGCCCATTGCGTAGTGGAGTCGATTGGAATACCGCAAGTAAATTATGAGAACGGAGAAATTTCATATTGTCTTACTGTGTCGTGTTCACTTTTCACTCATTAATGGGAAATAATACTGGAAATACATAAAGCTTATACCGTTTTCTGTACCAGTTAGTACGATTTTACGACTTGTCATACCCAAGCCAATGTTAAACCATTGGACTGACCCACAACGGTGACCAGGGAAGAGTTCTGGAAAAAATTGTAAAGATGTATAATTTCTTGGAGAGCAAACATCGAAAAACGGAAAATGAAAGTAAATGTGTTCTTCTGTATTGAGCAACTCTTTTATTATTAAGGCACGAACGAATAAGCAATGACATATGACACATGTTCATTTAACTTCTCATTTATACCACGAATTTGGAGTTATGAAGTCTTTTCTTCATCTTAGTTTCGAAAATAAAACAACTCTAACTTGGGGAATCAAAATTTACATGGCGATTAGCACCGAAACCTGAAAGATGCACTGATCTGCATATCACATCGTACATTGTGAAAGTAGTGCTAGCAGCCTGGGGTTTAGACGGGCACGTGAGTAGTCGCCTCCATTTCTGGGCTTCTGGAATGGCACAGAAGGATATTTTTCACAGCGGTATTAGAAAATAACTTAGTTTCCCTCTTATGGGAGTTTGGATCTCCATTTGATCTTCTCTTCTTCACATGCGTAAAGCGTAAAGATAAAGTCTTTTGCATTGATTAACCTTTAGGGGATAACTCTACTTGCATTAGACTTCATGAAGCATCATAGAGATAACTGCAGACATATTAGTCCTATTAAATGATTTCAAGTGGCCGACAGCTGTGTCAAGTCAGTGCTCCTATCCTTCTGGACAAATGTGGTAAAAATGTGCTAGCTCAGAAGAGATAGAAGGCATGTTTAGAACAGGGAGCACCATAGAACCAAAAACCATGTATTGGTTTTTCTTCGTATTGGAGGAAACCTCTAACCACTGCGCTACATGCGCATTTCTTCTTACATATTGTATGCAGTTAAAAACACAAAGAAATTTCTAATTTACATGGTAACAACTTTATTGTTATTCCATTTCTTGATTTTTTATGAAAGTTATAATATAAGTTCAAGTAAATAGGTAAATTAGTGGTCCCCGTTCGAAGGAAATGCAGTACAACTTGATTTCAAATTTCTAATTTTTGAACGTAATAATACAAATGGAGAACAAATCGCTTAGGAAAGACAAAAGAACTCGACAAGTGTGTGCCGCACGATTTGAACGATATTTTTAAAAAGTTGCCATTTTGAAGTGTCGGCTGCTCTTATTCTGCGCAACAAAACGACCCTTTTCTTGAGCGAATTGTGACGCCAGACGAGAAATGGATTCTGTACAACACCTGGCGACGTTCAGCTTAATGGTAATGGATTGCGATCAGCCTCCACAGCACTTCCCAATCGAAATTGCCCCCAAAAAAATTATGGTGACTGTTTGCTGGTTTGGAGCCGGTGTAATTCATTACAGCCTTTCGAGTCCGGGTGAAACGATCGCGGAAGAGAAGTATTCCAACAAATCGGCAAAGTACACGGTAAACTCCAACACCAACGCCCGTTTTGGTCAACAGAAAAGGACCAATCCTTCTCCACGACAACGGCCGGCCTCACGTTGCGTGACCACTGCTGCAAAAGTTGAACGAGTTCGGCTACGAAAATTTGCCTCATTCGCCATACTGACCAGACCTCTCGCCTACCGAATATCACTTCTTCAAGCACCCTAATAACTTCCTTCGTGAGAAATGCTTCACCAACCACGGCGATAGAAAAAATGCCTTCAGCGAATTCATAGCTTCCAGAACTTCAGGATTTTATGCAGCCGGAAAAAATAAACTTGTTTCTCGTTGGCAAAAACGTGTGAATTTAAGTGGTTTTTGTTTTCATAAATAAAGTTTTGTTTCAAGCAAGTTATGAGATTTTAAATAATATAGTTAAAGACGATCATTTACTTCTGAACAACCTAATAGTTAGTGGGGCAACAGTCGCGCTGGTTTATTGATAAGCGTTCATGTGGCAGCAACAGGTATTTGTTACGGTTAAGGTTTCAGCAGCTTTGCCCTCTTCAGAGGTGCAGTGAGTCGAATCGAGAGTTCTCCACTTCTAGAGCTCCAGAATTTTAGGTAAAATTGTTTCTTGTTGAAAACAATGCGCTGATTCTAATTGTGCTTGTTTCGAGTAATAAGAATTAGTGCGAAAACAGTTGTGGTTACTTTAAGTTTGCATTGGAAATTTCATACGTTACCACCTATTACAAGTAGTAGCAGACAGAAGAAAATGGCAGAATCAGAAGAGAAAAAAAGCAGTGTGAAAAATGTCGTCGAGACTTATGTGATCTACTTTCGATATGCTCAATCTCGTGTAGGGAATGCGGTGAGGAATGTATTGGGGAGACGAGCAGACCACTTTGTGTCCGCATAAAGGAGCGTCTGGATGGAAAAGTCAAAATTCGGCAAAGCACTCTTCCATGTACACACAGGGCACAGAAGCACAATGGCGACGATTTCGAAGTGACTGGTCCGATCCTAACGCAGGCATCAACACCATAAACACGCAAGATTCTTGAGATGTTTTGGATTAATTTCAAAAACCCAAAGATCAACCGAAAAGACGAATGCCTCACTATCACACGTGACTTGGTGCCTTATTCCAAAATGATATTTTGACCATTGGATGGGTGGCGCTCGCCTTCAAAGTGAACGATACGCGGGCAGTCCAACTCGTAACAGCACGGTGAGTGGCCTTTTTGATCAATATGACGTTTTTATTTATTTATGTGATCTTATAAACTGATCTTCTTAAGCTGACGCGAGGTTAGCACAGATCTTCGTTGTTGTTGTCGTTGTTTTTGATGTTATTGAACGATGGCTGACGTCTCGGCGATTTCGCCTTCCTCACAGCCTGGACGTATTTTATGTTAGAATACTTTTTATTATTCGGTGGAAAAGAAGGTTAAAGTGTTAATAAAGATCAAACTTTCAAATAGACGCCATATTGAACAGAAAGGCCACTCACCGTGATGTTACGTGCGGGACTGGCCCACACGTAGTTCACATGGAGTCGCGAGCAAGACACGCCTCGGGGTCAAAATATCATTTTGAAAAAGGGCGCCAGGTCACGCGTGATAGTGAGGCATTCGTCCTTCCGGTTCATCTTTGGATTTTTGAAATTTATCCAAAACGCCTCAAGAGTCTTGTGCGTTGTTATTTTTGATTCCTGCGCTAAGATCCGCACATTCACTTCAAAATCATCGCCGTTGTGCTTTTATGCCCTATGCGTACCTAGAGGGGTGTTTGAAGGGATTTTAGCTTTCCCATCTAGATGTTCTTTTATGCGGACACAAAGTGGTCTACCCGTTTCCCCGATATATTCCACGCCGCATGCATTGCATGAGATCAAGTATATTATACCTAAACTCATGCAATCCCCGTCTCTCCCGTTGGGACAGATCATACAGTTTTCTGAGCTGCACAATCGCTCATAGAGACGGTTTCGAACTAACTGGCGGCGTAGGGTATTGGGTGGGATGTCAATAATCGTTACATAATTTTCAAGCCCACTTTTTCTTAAGCTCTTTTTAATGGCGTGGCTTACTTTATTTGATATGAAGGGCAGCTTAA